CAATGTTACACAACGGATCACTAAATTAAGAATTCTTGTTATTCAAATTACTTTTTGACAGGTACTCGCCTAGATTTAGGTGTCTGATATGGATTCTCTAGGATCCTAAGCTCAGACAGACGAGTTACCTGAAAGTGTCGGACGATAAACAAGTATGGGGTGATGTCCCTGCCCTGGACTGATCTATCAGTGGCGATGGAAGTCAAAAATTAGGTGCGATATCTTTCATGGAATTTTAGTTCACAATTTCTTGGTGTTTGTAATCTGGTTTGTGCAGAACTGCCCCCGAAGTGCTGATTCTAAGTCATCGGTTCTCTCTGATCCTCAAGCGAACCAGGGCTAATATATACCATACTTTGTGAGCAAGCTGATCAGAGAGGGTAAGTTTACTATTGAGTCGTCAGTCATAAACTATTTGTTCACTTCAACTACCTGGCATAAAACAAAAGGGAGAGTTGATGTTGTTAGGCGTGAGAATCATATGTTGCTAGTCAGTTGTCGTCGCCCGGTAGGAATTTTGTTAGAATATGTATTGCGGGCCTGTGTAATAGACTTAGTTCTCGGAACGGAACTGGTCAGCGTACCCAAATTGCAGATTGGATGCTCGTAGTATTAAATCAAACTTTGAAGATATATGTTTTGCCTGGAATTTTTGCTGTTCGCCTGCCGGTTCAAATCGCTGAGCAGTAATGGCGATCTTTGAAGAATCATCGTTGTTAAAGTAAGTATTGGAAACATTGTTATCTGTCCGTTTATAGATAATATAATGGTAGGTTTCGATCAAGATATGGTGGCCATAAAGATCACGTGCAGTAAGCTTAATTCAAGTCTTGTACCTTCCGATCGTGGAAGTCGAAACCCATCTCCTAAAGTGGGGGAAGCATTTGAGGTCGAAGTAACAACCAGATGAGACACGTGTAGTGTTTGTCCGCCTGTACGGACCGAGGCTTAGAAATTAAGAAGATGAAATTACTATGGAATCATCAAAGGCGAGCCGAGATGAAGTTTGTCTAGTTCCTCTTTAACGTTTCTCACTTCTACAAATTCAGTGTGAAGTGAGGTGCTTCCGTCGGGCTTGCGCCTGAAGAATCCAACGATCCTCCCACGTACAACATGGTCCATAATGTTTCTTTCTTCGGTTTTTGGTTCAGTCCACATATCCACAATTCTCTTTTCATTGATTGGCAGGTTCCAGCCTGACGAGATCGGTGAAAGGGGTCTTCCGTAGGGGTCCAGAGATACGTCATGCTCCAACTCGATGGCCCGCCGTGCCATCGCAAAAAGCGTAGCCATCTCCCATAGGTTCTCTCGTGGGAGGCCCAGGAAGGGCATCAGACGCAAGACCTCTAACCGTGTTTCCAAATGACGGCAGGTAGTGGCGATAAAGAATAGCATCGGCGTGTATCCCGTTTCGAACATGAACTTTGGGGTGGTTGAAGTAGTGCTCGATAGTTTTGATTGCTCTGAAACTTGGTTGAGAGTTGATGTAAGATTTTTTGCGAGACGGCTGTAATTAGCTAAATACTTATCATATCCAGTTTGGCTACTGTCGAAAGCCATGTTAAGCCAGATACGACAGCATTCATAGCGCGTTGAAAGAAACCCCCGGAGCATTTTGGGCAGATAATCCTTCCCGAACATGAAAACCCTCGTGGCAGGGGTATACGAGTACTCAATATGCTCGTTGAAATGAGTAAACAGATCGTTCCATTTGTCTAGCAGTTTGTTGACCTTGTCTTGTTGTGCGAGTAGTTCTGGCGGGATGGCACTGCCTATAAGTGACTCAGAACGATAGGGGTATCCTTTCTTCATGAGCTGAAGTGTTTGAGAGTATATATCATCAATCATCAACTGGGCGTCTTGAAAGGTTGAGAAATTAGGCGGAACATGGTGTTCCAGTCCGCTCAGGTCTGGAAAGTCTGATTTCTCACTGCTGAAAAAGAAGGAATATTCTGATAGACGGCGGAAAAGTGGGAGGAGATGCTCCTTCGTCCAGGGAAACTCATTGTGGGTGTCCTGTAGGATTGCGACACCGTGTTTGCAGTGTCTGATGGCAGCCTCTCGTCCTGACCGCAAGAACTCGATACAAATGAACAACAGACAGACAAGCAGTACAACGGGTTGTCTCTCACGGGTCATCATACCCTGCAGCTCGTGGATGGCGGCATTGTAATGCCGCAAAGCAAAACTGTGGTCCCGGGGAGCGACTGCTGCATTTCCGGTATGAAACTGCTCGTAAAGGTCGCTGATGGCTAGAATAGAGTGTGTAACTGCGGGTTCAAGTGTGCTGAACTGCATGACGATGTGAGTCCAGAAATAGGGATCTACAGCCCCTGACAGGAGGGGCCCCACGACCTCTGAAAAGTACTGCAAGGCACGACTGTCGCTTAGTGAGTTGATACCAGGAGAGGCACGGCTCGGTTGGAGTGTAATGATGGACGAGCCAGGGGAGCTTGATGAGACATCGGACAAGCCAGCGACGTGCGGATAGCCATCGCATTTCCGGCCAGTGACGGTGCAGCGATTACAGAAAGGTCTTGTCTCGTCACACTTGATCTTGCGGACTCTGCCGACCGTTAGACACCCGACGTCATCGTCACGTTGGACCCCTAATCTCGGGTCGCAACGAGGTCCAATCGGAGGACATTAAACTATGACTTACTTGCAGGTTAAGCATCCCGTCCTGACCTTTCGGCTGCCTTTCCGAGCCATTATTCTTGACAGTTTGCGCTAAATTCGACCGCGTGTCGAACAGGCTCGAGCCAGCCTTGTTTGGTTGTGGCCGCGAGATCCGAGCCAGCCAGTTACGTCGGGCTTGTGGCTGTCTGGTGCCGGTCTAGGGCGAATGGCGACCGTTCCACGCCTCGGTCAACGCAGCCTGATGGGAAGAACTCTTGAGTCCGAGGTCAAGGTGCAGGAATCCGAGTGACGATCGAGCCAGATAATATCTGTGCCCACTAACCTCGGAAGAACCATGTGGGACTCGCAAGGGTGAGACCGAGCTGACCAATGTCAGCTTGCGAAGCCCATAAAATCCCTGCCATAGGCAAGGGGGTAACATCAAATGCTCCATTGAGTGTATTTTACTTGCGGTGAATCGTCTGTCTAAGCCTTTCTAGGACTAGAGCAATTCTCAACTCAAGCGCTCCAAACAATTAGGCAGCTATTTAACTGCCGATTTCCTTCAAGGCTATCAACTGGCCATATTAACAATGATATGTACTCGTAAACTGCTCTTGTTCACCAAAAATGGGCACTGTTTCTCCGCATGAGAATTTTACCAAGGATAGGATGATTAGCGTTAAATAACCGGTATACGGATATCAAACGGGTAATTAACTGGTGGCCTGGAAAGATTACTATGGTGCCGGCTTTCCCATTTTCATTTGGTCGTCTTAAGCTCTTTGTCTCAAACTCTAATAGCTGAAACAATGACCATTGCCTATTTATAGATAATATCATTTGAAAGTGTGAAAAATGTGAGTTGATGGGACGAAGATGAACTCGGTTGATGGTGAGTATTAAATCATGTTCAACTCAAATCGACGTAAGAATTTCATTCCAGTGATGACTCGTCTTAAAACAATCACCTGTTATTGCTGAGTTATTTTCAGTATTTTATATTTTCGCCATTTATTCTCGTAATCTCCATCAAAGCCTCAACTACAATGTCATTAGCATTGCTTAGTGGTTTCACAGCTCCATGTCAGCCACATGCCCCATGAAGACATTCCACACAGTCAGCCTCCCCTAGGTACTGCTTTTCAGGCCTTCGTGGTCCTTACCTAATCCGCATACTCCAGCAAAGTCCCGGGTACCGGTTCTTGTTTTCCGTAATATTGGGGGCGGGAGATCAGTAGCACCAAGTGAGCGTCACGAGTAGTCGGTCCAATGATGACACTAAAAAGCCACTCGTTCCCATTTTAATAGAAGCCAGTGATGTCTTCAAAAAACCTTCTTGCCTGGCTCTCCACTAGCTGAACTCGATCATTTTCGAGGGTAATGTCCATCTTCTCTGAATGGCAGTCCATATGCGACATCAGTCACTTTTTTGTAGACCATTTACACTTTTCGTCAGTATATACATACAAACTGGCCTTTTAATCAAGAGCTTTTTGATAATTCAGCAGGATATTGCCAAGGGCTTTGGGCGTCTCAGCAGCCATAGTTGGAACCCCGCCTAGTCGATTTCCCTTCGAGGGCACGCAAGGGAACGATGGCTGGATCTCGTGGAGTGTCGTAAGATATCCCCTGACTTGCGTATCATATGTCTGGTGGTAACAGATTATGGAATTGGTAGTAGAACCGGTAGGATATATTTTCAAGGAGTCCTTAGACGCAGACATGGCGGAGATGCTCTGCAGCTTAGCTCTCATTGCGATGAATCTTAACCGATTTTGGTATGATCTTTAGTCCTACCACCTTGAGCTTGCTTCCTCTTCGCATGTGAGACACATCCTATGAGTACAGTGAGAAATTCAAAAGAATGAAGTGTGTAATGAGCCATGACTGATGCAGCTGTTGGGACATGCTCCACCAACGCCATTGTGTCGTAATGCACGTTACCTTCACTAGAAGCATAGGTCTCACGGATGAGATGAAATGTTTTCTTAACAGTTAACAGCAGTGTTGGGTTCGTAAGAAGTGAAAGTCGGGCGAGCTGACCTAGGCCATCCAATATTGGGCCACTCTTCTCAATGGCAGTAATCAAACCCTTGCAGAAAACTGAATCGAACATTCTTCCCTTGTGCTAAATCGTTGATACACCAGAGGCATCTCGGACCTGGTCGACTAGACACATGTCTTTGCCACCAACTGGATGGGCATCCTAGATTCATCCTTACTACACGTCTATTTGAGAAACATGGAGCTAGATATAGATACACGGATACAATTAAAATTCTGGAAAAAATTATATGGTCTATTGAGAAGTTTCGGACCGACTATGAGCTCGAAGCTGTGTCCGAACTTCCACAGCAATAGAGGGGCTGGTACGCCCACTACCCCGGCAACAATTGCCAACACACTGCCACCCCAGCCCTATCCGAGATTACCGAAAAGTGCAGGGACAAGGAGCGGGAATGCGAAAGCGGCCATTGATCTGAGGAAGCAGCAAGCAGCTGGTGCGGAGGCGGTGTGAAGTGAGAAACAGTCGGCGATGTAGGCTGATATGCATTGGTACGATTCCATACTACTTCCGACAGTAATTGCAATTCCAATCTGTATTTGGTGTTGGTCAGCTAAAGTAAAAGAATGTTTCTCAAGTTTTAGGGGCTAAGGAGGCCTTCTTATATCTGGAATCAGGAAATGCATCCTATTTTGTGCAGACCAAGCAAACAACAATATACCACAGGGTGAGATGATTACGACAGGAATCATCAAGGGTACACGAAACTCTGGAGTATCCGTTTGGTCTTCATCAATTCCGTAGCGGAGCTTGAGTCTGCGATAGGTCGCGTCCATAGCTGGACCGCACATCAAAACACCGATCATCGAACCCGCGGCGACCGAAATGTAGTTCAAGTTAGCCTTTCCGTTACTCATATCATAGTGGTCTTCCCATAGTGCAGGAAACCCGGAGATAATGAGGTAAAGAAACCCAAAGTTGAAAGCCTGGTAGAGCGCCAGACTTTGGATGATAGGTTGTGTAGCGAGCATGATCTAGGGCCGTAACACGCTAGCTCGCAGGATCCGAGGAAGAGTGCGCTCTTTCTTTTCCCATTCTGTATGGAATGCCTTCTCTGGATGGATTTTGCGAAGTTAAGCAGCCTTCAGCTGCAGTAGGCGCGGTGCGTAAGTCTCCCGGAGGAAGAAAAATGCAACGAGCTGGACACAAAGGCTCACAACGACAACAAACCAAAAGGCCCATCGCCAGGTTGCATATTGGGAGATGTAGTCCCCAACTAGGATGCGAATGTCAGAAGGCATGTTTAATATGCTCACATTTGGGGTAGTTATGAACATACGGATGGGACCAATCGCATGACCGATGACTGGTGCGAATTGCATGAATGCAATTCCTTCCCCACGCTCTTCGGGCTGCCAGCAGTCGGACAACACACCACTTCCCATCTGCATCCAAAGAGTCAGATAGGCATTCCATAGAACCAGCCCAGTGCAAACTTACACCAATTGCAGCACTCCCTCCGATGCCTGCCATGAACCGGAATGCTATAATTGCTTCCTTAGAAGTAGCGAACCCACACAATGTGGTGGAGATGATGAAGATCCAATTGCATACTCTGACAATTAGTACTCGACCCCATAACTCTGAGCATGGTGAGAGTATGAACGGCCCGAGGACATATGTCAAAAGGAAGATCGAGAGAACCATTTGAAGATACACCTCGTTTGTGATATGTAAGTCCCGACCGATCGGGCTTAGAGCCGGCGCAGCCATTGAGGGAGAGAGGGGAGAGAGAAATGCAAACGACGATATGATCAATGAAGTCTGTTGGTACTGTCAGTATGTACGCACGTGGCATGAAACCAAAACACGTAGCACTCACATTCCATTTGCGATTCCGAGTCCAGTTCTTCGGGTTATCTGGGTCATCTCCCCCGTCCCATGTAACTTAACAACTGTCAGAGGGATATGGGGAACCTGTGAATGTGAGATCTTACCAGGGTAGAATTGGACTGATTGTCGTTGTTTGGTTTCTCGGTATCTGACGACGTCTGGCAAGTCCCGACTGAATGACTCATGGTCTGGTCATCAGAGCAGGCGTTTTGATACTCGTACGATACTGCTACTGAATTCACCGTAACAGAGACTTTTTGGGCCTTCTCGATGTCGTCTTTTTTGAAGGTTTGTGAATCCATTGTGAGATTTTCAATAGAAGTGAGATATCGATTGATGATATATTTATTGAGAGAGAGTACAACTATCAGAGTAAGGAGAAGAAGATCTGTCAGAGAGAATTTACGACTTGCTTGATCCCTTTGACCTTTTTATAGCAGAAGTCTTATAAGACTGTTTCCCCGGACCCTTGTGGCTTGCGGTGATATGTTTGTTCGTTGCCAGAGTAAACATCACATAGCTCGAATCCACTCTCGCTTCTGACGTTTGGACATGTCATTCGCAATACCGTGCTGGTATGTCACCAACAGGAGCTCCCATGCCATGCCGCTTAGGACCGAGCGAGTAGACCGCCACATCTCAGCTGGGTGGGTCCGTTGTAAAATCACCCAGTCGGATCGAAGGATGAATCTTGATACCCCAAGCTTAAGTAGGAGCATCTCCGAACAGTAATTTCTCCCGAGATCTCAGCCTCTGTGGAGCACCTCGGCAGGCAGTCCTACTAGACACCAGCAACTGCGCTATGGACTCGATTCTATGAGCTATCTGGCGCCACGTTCCGAGGAGCACAAACTAAACGCCACAAGCTTGTTTCCCCATTTTTGGGCATTGAGCCACAACGGAAAGGTGGAGAAATGGGGAAACGTCCTTCTTTGACACTTGCAAAAACGAGTCGGATTAAAAAACTATGCATCGATGAGGAATGCAAAACAAGGTCCATCCAGGATTCGAACCTGGGCCTACGGAAGGATATGATGGTGAAATCAGAATCCGACGTCCTAACCAACTAGACTAATAGACCAGTTAAGGAGGTGTTTCTCTTGAAGACGGTCACGTCGGAGGAATGTTGAAGTTGGATTGCGCTACAGGGGCTCGAGCCCTCGATGTGGGCACAGTTGTTGTGAAGTGGATCTCATCAACAGCCCCAGCACAATCCCGGAAGAATAAGCAGGTCTGGGAGGGTTCTATCAAGTCAGAGCCCAAGCGTGTGAATGAGGAATGATTGATGCTAGTCCACAGTGGAAACAGAGCATAACAGAGCAAGAGAACATTCAAACGCTCAAGAGTAAACAGGACTTGTGCCCACCTTGGAGAATGGCGTTTCTCAGAGCTGAGTGGTCAAAGAAACACAGTCGTCTCCTCTGGCCCCGGAACCATGGGGTCGGAAACCGGTCAACTTAGCAGTGAGGCTTAGCGCTGTTAACTTTCCAGAATGCAGCCCGGAAATGTCGTGCCGGTTAGCAAGGCACCAATCACTGTCTTGTGGCGTCTGGGAGAGTCATGTCTCTTGTCTCGCTCAGCGCCACGATCTTGGGGTAATCTCAAAATGTCCGAAGAGGAATCCAGGCACGCGACACGATTTCGCCCAGTGGAGTCTTGTCAAAGAGTAGTAAAGCTAGACGAAGGAGAAAACGGAATGTGGGCTTGACAGAAATTCACCATCTCAAGGGAGGGGTACTTACTCCGCGATGCAAGTGCAGCTCTGTACAAGTGGAAAGCAACAAGTCTAGGCAATTGCTCCTAGTCCTGAAAGCCGCAACAATCCGCTCAGCAATGAAAGGGCGCGCTTTGGTGCCGCTTTTGGTTACAGCAACCCTGATGGGCCAATTGAAGCCAAGAGTGAACTGAGATGTCGCTTTTCCTCTGCCAAGCGTAGCGAAGAATAATGCATCCCAGCTGCGCTGATGGATTTCGGCGTACTGAAAACGGTGTTTTCGGATTATTGGTGAGAGATCCACTAGTCTTCTCTAAGCAAATCCATGGTACATATTTTCTAAGCGGCCTGGGGTAGGCAGCAAGAACAGTGGGCGATTGGTTTAGTGGTATAATGACCGCTTAGCATGCGGTAGGTCCTGGGTTCGATTCCCAGATCGTCCATTACTTTTTGCTTCTGTAGCGTTCTCTTGCGATGCTACCTACCCATTGTAGCCTTTCGTTCTTGAGGCTTTGCATGAGGTGGTTTGATAATGGCGAAAGCGGCTTGCTGAGTATGCGATCTCGAATAAATTAGCGTCGCACTCGGTAAGTAAAAAGGGTCAGATTGCGGGGCATCGTGTGCACTGGTGCCGATCCCTCTTCCCTCCGCCTGAAGACACCTTGAAGAAGACATTTTTCTCAAGCCTCCGAATTAGATAGGACTACCGGTGCTACCTAGCTTGTCACTCCCTTTGTTAATTAAGGGTGTCATCTACTAGATTGAAACAACTACTGAGCAACTTTGGAAAGATCGGGCCGTCTACGTGCTAGGTAGACGAGATCTGTGGAGTTGCACCTTATTCTCAGACATCAGCCGGTCAGCCGCCGACCAAAACCCGGAAGCTAAGTGGACGAGCAAGTTCATTAACACGATGCAATGTTCCGGTTGAATGGCCGTCCGGTCATTGTAAATCCATTTCCTGCCGTTTGTTTCGCTGTTCAGTCTGCTCCAGATTGGCACGATGTTTGGTACCCGTTGGCATCCATAGAGTCTAACAAAGTGCCTTGACGGTCCTTGGAAAATTGACGGATGCCTCCGAGATGCTACTTATATAATTGATCTCTTTTGCAATTTTTCTTTTAGCTCTGCATCCTGATTTCCCTGGCAGAGTGGTCAAGTCAACTTTTTCAACTCAAAGATGCATCACGCCGCCGTCCTCTTAGCGGGTTTTGTTGGCTTGAGTTTAAGTCATAGCCACGTGACGAACTTCGTGATCGATGGTAATTCCTATGAAGGCTTCAACCCGCGGCTAATGACGCCCAAAATCCTCACGGCGTGGGGAACATCAGTAAACAATGACGGTTGGGTCAGCACCGAAAGCTACGGCAAGCCGAACATTGTATGTCATATCAACGCTACCAATGCACATGCCCACGCTCCAGTAGCCGCTGGCGACACCATCGGCTTCCAATGGCAGGGCTGGCCCGAGTCGCATCACGGCCCCGTCCTGACATATTTGGCGTACTGTGGGAGAGAGAGCGGGTCTTGCGAAGCGGCTGACAAAACTAAACTGAACTTCTTCGCTATTGACAGGGTCGGACTTGTCGACCCAAAGATCAACGCTACCAGCTTTGCGACCGCATGGGGAATTTGGGCCAGCGACATCCTCATCCAAAACAATGCTACTTGGACTGCACAGATTCCGCCCAAGATCGTGCCAGGACACTACGTCCTTAGACACGAGATCATTGCATTGCATTATGCGAGGTACCTGGGACAAGGCGCGCAACATTATCCTCAGTGCTTCAACATAGAGGTCGTGGGTGGAGGAGCCGACAAGCCGTTAGGGATCTTGGGAATGGACTTGTATCAACCTGCAGAGGAGGGTCTCGTCTATGACATATCCAGTCGCCTACTAGGACATACAAGATTCCCGGCCCAACAGTTTACACTGGTGCCGCAACATTCGTGTCCCAAACTGGTATACTTATAAAGTCCTCGGCAGTTGCGGTATCTGCTGGTGCATTGCCAACCGAAACTTCAAAGGGTATGCTGGAATCTGGCTAGAGAAAGTCTATCTGGGCCTCACCGCCTCTGGTAAAGGCGCTGGCAGTAGCAGGGCCGTGATGTGGAGGAAGACCACAAACTGGTTTTCGAGGCCTATCTCGCAGCTTCACAGTGCCATAAGAAGAGAACTTTGGCATTGCCGATAGACTTATTCTTATGCGATGCATTCGTTCTTATCTGCTGGTATCGCCTTAGTCAAGATCTCTGTTAGCAATCTCATCAACGTTTCGTCAACCTTTGAGTTGGGCGTAGATGACAATTTATTGACAGTTTTAATGCAGCCGCTAAAACCCTCCCTGAAAGGCGGCGGTCTTTCGCCCGAAGTCGGGTGAATTTGCCGATAACATGGCCCAGGGGTTGGCGCTCTGCCGATCTCCCCTCTCCCTCTCCCCATCAAGTACAATGCATTTCACCTATCTACTCTCATCAACACTATGTCGTGAACATCTCGTCTTCTAATTTACTTCTATTCCCCCGTTTTCACTATCACTCAAGCACAATACCCGTTCATCTGCGCTCAGAAGAATGTTGTCTCGTACGAAGCCGCAAATACCCTTGTTCCGTCAGGCGAGGTCACTCTCAACTGCGCGGGGTTCCTTATCAGGGCTACAGATCAACGCCGACCGGCTTCAAGAAACGATTCATCATACGTGTCAATGGGGTGCAGCTCATCGATATGGCAGGTGCGTTGTGCTCTTCTCCCCCCTCTCCTTCACTCTCTAAACTTCGTTGAGGAAGTAGCGCCAGTCTAACGTGTTGGTGAAAGAGGACCAGCGGAAACCGGCATGGCCCGGCTAGCTCTGTCTGACGACGACGCCCGTGTGAGGCGTTGGTTCGCAGATGAGGTGGCAGATCTGGGCTGTGCTCTCTCTGTTGATGAGATGGGCAACATGTTTGCGAAAAGAAAAGGCTCCCTGAGTTCATCGGCCCCGATGACCGCAATGGGTAGCCATCTCGACACACAGCCCCGCGGCGGCCGATACGATGGTATCCTGGGCGTTCTCGCTGCCGTCGAGGTAATGCGAACCATGAAGGATAAGGGTTTTCAAACTCGATTTGACGTCGGTATCGTTAACTGGACCAAGTAAGCGCTTCGATCCTGGAGAACCCATTTCAAAATCTGACAAAAAGTAGTGAGGAGGGTGCCCGCTTTCCCAAGTCAATGATGTCGTCCGGCGTCTGGGCTGGGGAGATCTCGCGCGAGAGGGCTTGGAACCTGGCCGACATCTTTGATTCCTCTGTGACTGTTAAAACAGAACTCGAGAGACACGGCTACATTGGAGCTCTGGCGTGTTCAAGCGATGCATCTACAGGGTTTCCTCTAGGTGCGCATTTTGAGCTGCATATCGAGCAGGGCCCCATCTTGGAGGAGAGCGGCAAGAAAATTGGTGTCGTGCAGGGTGCGCAGGCATACCGCTGGTACACCTTTACTGTTAAGGGCCGTGACGCTCACACGGGTACGACACCGTTGAAGTCGCGCAAGGATCCGCTGCTTGCGGCCTCGAAGATGATTGCAGCCTCCCACGCGATTGCGAAGAAGCTGGGTGCTTTAGCGACTACCGGAGTCATCAAGATCCCGCCCAGTTCGTCTACCAACACCATCATCTCTGAGGTCACCTTTACTCTTGACATTCGACACCCAGAGGATGCCGTCGTAGAAGAAGTACAGCAGCAATGCGTGAAGTCTTTTGAGAAAATTGCCAAGGAAGACGGCCGCGGTGTTGAGCTGCAATGGACGCTCGACACTGATTCGCCGGCGGTCAAGTTTGATGAGGAATGCATTCAAGCCGTGGAGAATGCGGCTAACGGTCTTGTCGGGCCCGATGGATGGTTGTCGTTGACGAGCGGCGCTGGCCATGACAGCGTCTACACGAGCAAGCGATGCCCGACCACGATGATCTTCGTTCCTTGTAAAGATGGAGTGAGCCATCACCCCGAGGAGTACTGCAGCCCGGAGGACTGGTAAGTCAATACGCAGTCCTGATGTTGAGACACTTGAGCTGACGATTGATAGTGCCAATGGCACTCAAGCACTGCTTGAAGCCGTCGTCAGTTATGACCAACTACGAGCGAGACGGAGTTGAGACGAGAACCGATGATATCAAGAACGGAGCAAACGCTTTTTGCCGCATATTTTCCTTCTTCCTCGTCATGATACCTATTGAGTGTCGCCCGGAGGCTTCTTGGCACGGTGAGTGCAGGGGAGATCATATGGACTTGACCTCGATAAATGGGTGCGTGAATGCACTTAGATAAAGACCATGACCAGAACCAAACAAAATCATTGTCTATACCATCCGACTCGCTCATACCTTCAACCCATGCCTCAAATTCGATCTCTCGTTTGTAAGAATTTCTCGATTTCTCAGCACGCCCTTTGGGGTCTTGTCAATGTCGCGCCCTACTGCGTGTTGATCTCATTGCGTTTCTGTCAGGCACACCCATGATGTCAGTCCACTAGGACCCTTCAGCGGCATAAGCCAGCGTTCTGCTGCATTGGCGCTGGAGAAACACCCGGGCCAGACCTCGGAAGAACCCCTACAAGCAGCGGGGGCTGTATTAGTAAGACGCGAGGAGAGTAGGTGTTAATTAGCGACGGTACTCGGGTGTCCGTGACGCCATAGGTACGGAGTACACACAGGTCTAAACAAGGGCGCGTTCAATGGATTCAAGCATAAAACATTACGAGTTCTACCCATTGCCGACATGCATTGAATGTTAAGTACTGGATCGCACCGCATCGTCGACGACCCCCCCTCCCCCAGGCTACAAATAATTCGATTGATAAAACTGTACCCGGACCAAGCTTCTTACATCAGCGACACAAGCCCAGACGCAGTCACAATGGCATCTACAATCAAGCCGTACAAAATCGAGGTTCCCGACTCCAAGATCGAAGAGCTGCACGCCAAGCTTGACATCGCCAGGTTCCCGCCAGCTTTCGCACTCACCGACAGCTGGGACTATGGCACCCCCGTTTCTGAGGTGGAGAGGCTCGTCCAGCGCTGGCGTAATGGGTTCGACTGGCGCGCTGCGGAGGCCAAGCTGAACGATCTGCCTCAATTCACGACGACCATCTCGGTAGATGGCTTCGGCGATCTCGACATCCACTTTGTGCATCAGAAGAGCAAGCAGCCTGGGGCTGTTCCCTTGATTTTTGTTCATGGCTGTAAGCAGAATGACAATGTTCCTTAGCTTCAATACCTGAAAAGCTGACTCGTCATCAGGGCCCGGCAGCTTCCTCGAAGTCCTCAAAATCCTGCCCTTGTTGACGACGGAGAAGAATGGGCTTTCATTCGATGTCGTCGCGCCTTCACTCCCCAATTTTGGCTTTTCCGATGGTCCGGAAAAGCCAGGCTTTCGCTTGCCTCAATACGCTGAGGTTATGCACAAGGTCATGTTGAAGCTCGGCTACGAGCAATATGGTCAGTCCTCTCGTCCTTGCCAATTTCTACCGTGGCACTAACAAGTAGTCAGTCACCCAAGGAGGTGATTGGGGTTTCGGCATCACCCGTTTCATGGGCCTTCAGTACCCAGACCACGTCTTGGCCTCGCACATCAACATGGTTTCAGCATCCCCACCATCATTGTTGAAGAACCCATGGCAGTACATCAAGAGCTTGCTTCCCTATACCGAAAAAGAGAAGAAGGGTATTGAGAGGAGCCAGTGGTTCAAACAGGAAGGCTTTGGCTACAACCTTGAGCAGAGCACCAAGCCCTCGACGTTGGGTCTCGCATGGGCCGACTCCCCGGTCGCGCTGTTATCATGGATCTTGGAGAAGTTGCACGACTGGACCGACAGTTACCAGTGGACCGATGATGAGATCCTGACGTGGATCTCCGTCTACCAGTTCTCCAAGGCCGGCCCCGAGGCGAGTGCGAGGATCTACTACGAAGTAGCCCACCCAAGTAGGCCGACGGAGCACATGACATGGGTCCCACGTGTGAAGCTTGGGTTGTCCATCTTTCCCATGGACCTGACAGTACCGCCGTTGAGCCATGCCAAAACGCTGGGTCCTGTCGTGTTCGCTGTTACACATGGGGATGGTGGCCACTTTGCCGCGCATGAGAGACCAGAGATCCTTGTAAAAGACCTAAGAGAGATGTACAGCAAGGGTGGTGGTGCACATGATATTGCGGAAAAGTTGTCGAAGCAATGCCTTCTGGCAAAGCTGTAGGTGTTTCCAGTGGCAAATTCTGTATTTTCTTATGATCACCACAATGTGCAGAAGGATTCTTTCTCATTAGTTATTAAACATTTGACTTGTGATCAATCCAATTGTTAACTCCTGTCCCATAATCAATATCCATGTGAAGCAAGCTTTTGCCAGTGCTATGCTTCTACTCAGTCCCTCCGTATCCATTCACGTATATGTCAGATTAGATGCGCTAAACTTCGCGCGGATGAGGCACCAGCCCATGCAGCTGCTGAGCCGCAAGAGCTTCTGGATCTACTGGCAAGTCCTGGCCTGGATTAGCCTCCTCATAGTGTACCCATTTTACAAAACGATAGTAAGCGGCAGCGAGCGCAGCTCCCAAAATTGGTCCGAGCCAGTAAATCCAATGGTAATGCGGGAACTGTTTCCCGGCTAGGGCACACCCGAAGCTGCGAGCCGGGTTGAGTGATCCGCCCGTGACGAATGTACCTATGATTGTTCATTAGCCTACCGTTAATCTAGAGCACATTAACACAAGCTAAGTGCTTACCAGGGATCATGATCATGAAAAGAGCAAGGCCAATGCCGATTGGTGCAAGGAAGGTGTCGCGGGACTTCTCGGCAGCCAACATAAACACGACCATGACCAGTTGGGCGGTGAAGAACATTTCAAGGAAGAGACCTTGAGTAACAGAGGTCCGGGATCCAAGCAGGGAATTGGCTTGAGAGATTTTCCCAGGAAACATTACTTCAACTAATGCGCCAGCACACATGGAAGCCAGAAGCTGTGCAGGGATAAGGAAGAGGGACCGCATCCAAGGCAGCTGACCGCCGAGAGATAGACCAAGAGAGACCTATATCAGGCCGGGGTAAGCTGAATGTTGCCACAATCCAAGTCATATGACATTTTTCGACTTACTGCGGGATTGAAGAGTCCACCACTGACGCGATAGAATGTCCAGACATTAACGAGTAGAGAGAACCCGTAGGTCAGTGCGATAAAGACAACACCCTGACTGCTGAGCGAGCCGTCCGGGGCTGAATCGGCACCTTGAAGGATCACCATGAGCTGACCGGCGTAGCCGAAGTAGAGGAAGAAAAAGGTGCCGACGAACTCCCCTGATGCCGCCACTAGGTGGCCACCCGTCGTGGTGAGATGTGGCTTGTGGATCTCGTGGTGGTGGCCATGGGAGTGGTCATGACCGCGGTGCTTATCAGGCGTGGACATCTCGATTGTTTTACTTTGGAGGAAGTTTCGGGGTTGGGAAGCAGGAAAATTTGTCTCAAGGGAGCCAGAGGAGGGCGGCACACTTTGTAGGACCTGGGACACGTGTTTCTGGGCCTACGGAAAAAGTCGCCGGGATTGATGAAAAGAGCATCGATAGGGGTTGAAACAACAAAGCAATTTAGCGATCGAGACAGCTTGCTCTGATGGGGTATAGCTCAACGGGTTTGGCTTTTGATTAACTCAAAACGGCCGTAATGACTTATCGTGATGCAGAGAGCGCGTCAGCGGTACACTAGTAGTGAGACTTTTCTGGCTGGCGACCAATCATACCAATCTCTAACCTCCTGCCGCAAGCCGCAGACGTCCGGAAAGGAAGTTTGCTCTCGTCTTTGAATCCTTTTTTACCTTTGCTTTACTGGTGCAATCAATATGCAACGCGTATTTTTTACAATGTTCGATTCCAAGAGAGTAGTTGCTTTGCTCTGTTATTGGAAGCCTTTATTGCTGAGAAGTCGGTATCCTGACTTTCGAAAATATACAGTCATACCGAGTTCTCATTGCTCGGACCTCTAGTCCGTTCGAGGTAGTCAATCACAGATGACGATGGCCGTCATGTCAATGATCTGGCTCTTTGGTGAACTCCAACTATGGATAAAGTTATAGGCATTAAGTCTCATCCAAGAACTTTCCGTGCTCTAAGTGTTAGCTTTCAGATCCCGACAAAACAGATCTGTAATCATCATGTTAGGTCAGGAATGAAGGCTGCTCTCTCGGTCCCCTCCCCCTACCTTCTCCCTTTCGCCATATTCTTCCCACATACTAGTGACGTTTCCAGATACTTAAAAAAATGATAATCAAACTATAGTTATAACGGTAAACTCAAGAGATAAGTGGAAAGTATACGGTGGTAACAATTTCAACGTTATCAGGTTACCATCAACGCCTTGAAGCAACTAGTCAAATTATTGCATACTTTATATCGCTGCTCTCGCAACGTAGCCTATTAATGATCATGATACTGCTTAATCAAAAAACACTGAACCGGGACTAGAAACTTGCCAGGACAGGAAAGTCCACGATATGAAGTTATTGTAGACAAGTTGTGAAACTTTTGAAGCACCAAATGAAGAACTTCACAAGTTTGATGGATCCATCGATGCTTTTAGGCCTATTTTCTTAAACGCATTATTGATAGATTCTTATATCTACAACGTCCCCATGGCCCAAAAATACTTCGCCCTCCATGCCATCCATGTAACAAGCCCCAACAAGATGAAACATACCTGGTCTTTCCTCACTGCGTCGTAGAATCAGGGAGGTGATGCCACCAAGTGGGATATATACTGTATCGCCTTTCCTTGCCTTGCGAGGTACATGACCCAAGTACCCATTTATTGGACGACAAAACCTTCCCATAGTTGTGTTAACAAATAGTCCAGTTCCTTCTAACAACTTGTCGACCTGGACACCCGATCCTTATAGTTTGTGGAAAACTCGACTGTAGGGTCAATCTCTAGGTCGGGACTCATCCAAAATAATACAATGTCTGCTAGGAGCTGTGAGTCTGACGTTGCCATTCTGGCAGCGGAACGGACGCCGTCTTCTTCGTTCTTTTTGGCTTTCTCGCGGTCATGAACAAACTTTTCAGTTTGTGCCATCAACAGTTGTTCGAGTATGTCGTATTGAAGGCCTTTTGACAAACGGACCATCGACTTCATCGCAAGTAGCGCTCACCGCATCATTATCAAACAAGCGATTTGAGGCGAAAGACTAAGATCAATGAATGCGTCTGTAGTTACACAATTATCGCGACTGTCCAACCAGAACTTGCTGAAGTGGTCGAGGTTACCCCCTTCGAGTTCTTCTGACAGTTCAACGGCGTCTCTCTTCGAGGAGATGACGCTACCGAAAAAGCCGCCGTTCGCCCCGCTACGTCGCGGCCATAGGGTCCTAAGACTGGGGCTCGGACGAACATTTCGTCCACCACTATTCCCCGTAAAGACAGAACATCGCGCCTAATGACGAAGCTGACTTTATACTTAGGCTTATTAACCGCGTTGTACTCAATGTCTTAACTCAGGGGTCCTTTGTCGGTACAAGAGCGGTTGTAGGCTAGCATCCTTGAAGGAGAGATGTGGGACGTCGTTCCAAGCCCCGCACCGTGTAGGAGCTCAAGTACTTTGCCCTTTTGCACGAAATGAGTGCGGAATCGTAGAAGGGTGTTTCCAAGAGATAAGGCGTAGTTTGGGGTGGTTAGCTCGTGTGGCTTATCACTTACTAGCCCGAGTATGGAGACAAGATGGTCGGAGGGCAACGTGGACTCGAAAAGAGGATCTCCTAAGTACCCAAAGACCGTAAAAAGATTGGTGAATTCCGGGAACTGTGAACGCAAGCAGGCATGATAGTTTTGTCGCAGGCGTATCATAAAAGAGAAGTTCCTTCCAAGTTTCATTGTCTTTAGGGGTACGCGAAGATTGGCATCAGTCTCCGTGACCTCTCCCCTGACGCATATCCCGGATTTGTCTTCAGGAATTGCTTCTCTTAGCAGCTCCCAGTCAAAGAAGGATCGTCCCCATAAGAAATTGACTTATCGAGCCAGCACGAACTCTTGTATAATCCAGACTCTTAGAAACCAGGGAAGGTCAAGCAGTCCGCTAAGAACGCCAGTGACAATCCGCCTTAGGATTTTGATTTCTTCACCGCTCACTTTGCTAAGGAGGGGGGGAAATTGGACGTCCGTGTTGTGAGGCTCTAATGCATTGTCCAAAAAGACCAAGACCCGGTCGGCAGCTGAGTATATGCGTCCCATCATCTTTACTTGCGCTGACTTTTCTTCGTTGTCTTGCTGGTCAATGCACAGGGCATCTGCCCACAACAATAGTGGCTTACTGGGGTGCCGTACTCCGCGAGTCGCCGATCGTAGCGATTGCGTGACTATTAAAGGGCCAGTCGGCGTTCCCAGGTTATCAACATTTTCATTACCATCCCAAACATATGACAAGGCTTCGTATTGAGGTGCCATATTGCCAAGGTATGTTTCCTTCAGCGACTCATGATGGAGAAAGCCCCGGAGGGGCTGTAGGTCATCCACTGCTGGCTTGAGGAAGAGAAGACGGATCTCATTCTCTTCTAACAGAGATTTGTAATTGTAGACATTGCTCCCCGCGATGTTTGCAGAATCGTTTGGGGCCTCAGACTGCGGCATATGGCTTTGGGTTGAAGCATTCTCATTGTTGAAACGAGTTGTCTGATTGGATTCCAATATGCCTCCGGCGAAAAATCTGGTAATCGAAGGTAGGAAATAATTAGTAATAAGACTAGCAAGGGAAATAGATTGAGAAAGTTGAGTGACGTTTGCAAAGACGTCCAAATGCGGGGTCGAGAAGTCTGGGACATTTGTCACTAGCGCCTCAAGGACAACATCGTATAATGCGGCTCAATTGAGATCGCATGATAATTGGTCGCGGTAGCAAAACATGGGATCAAGTGCATGCAGTGCCACGTCTTGAATAGTTCGAGTCCCCGAAGATATCTTGAAAAACATGTGAGGCAAGTTTGGAAACGGGCCATATTCATGTGGTCATCTGTAAGTCAATCTTGATTTAAAACCCCCGGGGGAACGCTTGTTTTATTTAACCGCCTATCACATTAGGAAACTAGTCATTACAGAGGCAGTTGGAAGATTGTTCCAACGCGCTACGTAAAAGACGTTGTACGATATGGGGTATCTGCTCTACAAGAATGAGACTCATTGAGTGGAAACAACAGCTGCCGAACGAACAAACTCTTCCACAACCTTGGTCAAGTGAACAGTTTTCACCAGCAGGTGAGATCGCCAGTTTTCTGGTCAAAAGAGCAGTGGTTACGGTCGTAGGTGTAGGATAGCTATGGTGCAATGTGTTAGTGGGCTGAAACTTGTGTACTTTATCAGACTGCCATCCATTACTCACGTTAATGTAGCCGCCCTCAGCGTCAGTCCAGAACTGGTTAGGGCCGTTCATATACATGCAGTCATAACTATAGATCATGTTAGTTTCTCTCCTAGAACGATCGAGCAAGATAGCATAAAATTGGCAAACCCGGAGTGAAGCCCTTTGAGATTTCACTGTAACCGGGCCGTCAAGGTCGAATGAAACCGAATATCAAAGCAAAAAGCAGCTTACCTGACGTGGAAGACATTAGAGCGCAGGGTAACGCTGGCCTTGCCATCGATACCCTTGGAGTCTTTGACGCGATAGCCCTTGTTGTAGCAGATGGCAGCGTGGAACTTCTTAGTGTTGGGGTTACGCTTCCACATCTCGGACGTGGTCTGCTTGGTGAATGTTTCGCGAGCGAGCGTCCAATCAATGTATGCACGGATAATATCAGTGACGATATTGACAGCAACGCCGGTGGCGACACTCATGACGCCGCCGCCGATGGCAGTAACGACGGCTGTGATGCCGACCTGGCGTTCGTTGAGGGAAGCATTGCTTTCGGCCTCGATGGAACGGGTGACAACAACGCCATTAACTTTGTTACCGGTGAAGGTGACGGTTTCGACGTCGGCAGCATAGGCCTCGGGGTTGATAGGGGCAGTAATATCAGCCTTGTCGTTGGCGGGAACAGCCGCACCATTGACTGCCAGCGCAGAGGCGAAAAAGAAACCGACGGTGGAGAAACGCATTGTAAGTCTGAGTCGAGGACTTTGATCAGGTGTAGAGACAAGATAGAGCGAACAATATACCAGAAAGTGTGTGTTGAATAGGTCGGGGACTTCATTGGCAGGAATCAATGGCCAGTTTATATCAAATTTGTAGACATCAATGCAATGTTGTGTTCATGGTCCGTGGTCCGTTCGTAACCCGAACCATCGCCATGGCGTCATACCACACCTTCCTAGAAAGGTCATCGCCGATATCATATTCAATTCTTGCAGTCGTTCGGCAGCGTTTACCGGTGACAGGTTGATTGCACAAGCGGGGCACCCCCTGAAACGTATGGAGATGTTTTGTTGAACGGGAAGCTCTCAACTCTAAGCATCCCGCGTGATGACCAGTTATCGGTGAGTCGACAATCTGGCATTCGGGGAGCATGTCTTCTTTAGGCTCGCGTGACTAAGAGGATCCCTTTGGACGGTCGATGTCCTATCATGATTTGCGATGCCGCTGTGTCGGAACCGAAAATCCGAAAATCGGACTCCAGAGGCGGATCCAGTCAGCACGTTGGCCATATGGCAGCCGTTTATACCTAACCTCCAGCCCGGACTTGGGTCCCGAAGAGGGTTGACGCACTACAACGTGAGACCTACGAACGGCTCCGATTGGGTTCAAACAGATCTTAGGGATATTGGCTTGAGTCTAATTTCAAGGTTAAGGACCCTTGGACCCCCTTTCTATCTATGTCTCCTACATCGGGCAAGATCATCAGGTATAACCCTGTGATATCGTCCATTTATGGAGGGACTCCGAAGAAACTCCTGAGTCATTCAAGTCGTGATACGGCCTTAGGCCCCATCAGTCCAATCACGGATAGTCACGAGCTTGTTCAGCGGAGCCATTGAGATCACAAACCATGGAAGGCTATCCTGAACGGATCTCTTTGCAGAGGAAAGCGAGGGCCGATTATTGGCCAGGCCCTTCCATATCTGGTTACTGTTGAATGAAGGGCTCACTGTCATAATTACACCCCGCTCCGTATGTGTGGCTTGGACGCATCATGCTTGACTAATATCACTGAATGACTCGCCATTACTGGGGCAAAGCAGTGTTATATTAGCTTCACGCTTACGAAATGACGAGAGTATCAATGCCACACCGTTTTCTTGCCAAAGGGGCAAGTATTTCTAGGACTACACTTAAGTAACTCATGTCCTCTGAACTTGAAATGCTTCTCCATCGGGTCATGAGGCCCCCATTCGTGGAGATGTTGGCCAAGGATGTGTTGAAGACCGAAGAGAACTCTCCAACAACCTGACAATAATCGATCTATGTCTACAACTTCGATCCTTCGTACGAAACGCATTGCCAGAATCACCAAATACTGCATCTGATAGTCGGCAAAGTCCTCTAGTCTTGAAAAGGAGTTTCACAGGTGTTGCTCTCCATCCAAGGTCGTCGAAATGACAGGTCGGAGATTTAGCGTTTCAGGATTACTCAGGTAAGCATTGAGAGTCGGGGCTCTTCAAAGCCCATCCTCTATCATCTATTCATGGAGCTACAACACGTGTACATCTTTTTTTCATTCGCCGGCCATCCATTTTTCCCGAAAACTCCGGCCATTCCAACCTTTCATGTGCTTCGTAAAAGACCCTCAGGTCTGCGTTCGTATGCAAGAGTCATCAGACATGTCTAGAGTAGTCGGCATCTTCGTTTCGAGTATCAAAATGCATTGTATCCCGTTCATACGCGTCATCTCGCGCTTCTCTCCCTAGATGCCGGTTCTGTTCAGAATCATCGTCTTGATCATCGGCTGACCCGAGACCAATCGTCGTTGGTGTCTTGGTTCGTCTCTGTTCCCATATCTTTCTGGTTGTCCCTGTGCTGTTTCCATCGGGATCGAGAGGAACACTCGCCGCTTCGTCCGGATTTAATGTGGATATGCCGCGCGACGGCCGCGTCAGAGTCCGTAGTGTTGACTCTTGGCCCGGAGATGTGATCCAGTTGATCACAAGAGCGGAGAAAAATACTACAAATTGTTAGCGGAAAGCGATCATAAGGAAAAGGCGTTCTTACTATCAGTGTTACAGCATAGCAAGCAAAGCCATGCAACTTCGCCGTTGAGTGCCATAAGAACGGTGAGGTTTCTGGTAAAGTGTATCAGTCTCGTACCAAAGGATCACACAAGTGAGCTACGTACGTTACACTGCTGAAAAGCGTACAACATGACCCAATGAAAGTACGGATGACAAGTTTCCGCAGTCTGATATTTGGAGGAGCTCGCGGAATTCTTCGGTTCCGCCAGTCTAGTGTCCATGGCTTCCAAAAGTTGTACTTGACGGAGTGAAGACCTTGAGTGCCGGTTGTTAGCAACAATGACGTCCAAGCACTTCTATAAGCAACACGACGTATGGCTTACTCAATAATGGCAGCAAGAATAGAATGGTAAGGTAGACCTACGGAAAGGATTAGTTTAGGCTCGCATACAATGTCATGACGAGAACTTACGTTCACAGCCGCGTCAAACGATATTAGCGGCAGCAGTACAGGTTGTTCCATCCCAATAATGCAAATACCATCCTCGAAATGAGTGATTCGGCTGCGACAACTGTTAGTGAAAGCTAGACCTTATGAACTGTAGTCGAACTATACAAGATGAAGTTCATGATGACAATCAGGACGAACACCCCTATCGGAAGGTTAGTCAAAAGGTAGATTAGATTGACAAAAGCCATACCGAGCATTCCAAACGAGTTTACAAGGTAAAGCTTCGACTTCAGGCGTCTTTTTCTCGTTTGACGGATGATATGCTTTATTGGTTGTCAGGATGTTGCAACTACAAATATTTTTGGCTAATGGTAGAATCACTTACTGCCCGGTCTACCATGAAGAGGTAGATAAACTCCAAGTGGCATAGTTAGCACCCAGTGTAGGCAACATTTAGGGCCCTCGCCGATGCCATTAACTTACCAACTGCAATACAAGTGTCAGCGAGTGTCATCAAAAGAATGTGATTCATAATCAACGTACCTTTGTCGTGACATACGCCCCTAAGCAGAAAAGAGTGGCAGCGGAGCATGTATGGAAGTTGAGATCGGCTCCGAATCCGAACTGGAGAATGGATGTTCCGAAAACAAACAAAAACGAGAAGAAGTAAATTAGTATTACGACTTTGAATGTTAGTATAGTCCATGGCGGCCTGCTTGTTTTCAGAGATACACTCACGCCACATAGTCCAGGGTAATATCCTCCAGTCTTTTACTGTTAACCATCGCATGACTGCATCACATGTCAGCACATGAGTTGTTGGTCAGTCCCGTCATAACAGGCTACTGACTAAAAAGACTCGCGAGTAGACATGCTGATAACATGGCGACGATAACACTGACGACCTTTCCCGCGAGAGGCTCCGGCAAATGGTTGATGCTTGCGCGGCGCACCACGGCCTCGACGGCGGTGCCTGAAAGCCTCATAGCTCCAGCTGCTACGTGCTGTCGCAAATTTCTATTTCGGCCCCATCAAGATCGTTCGTGTTCCACTGCTGACTCGGAGAAGCCGGCCGCGTAGCCTGGAATGGGTAAGTGGGTAACAAGGCAAGGCGGTGGCCCGCGATGGTGTTCCGAGGCGCTTGATGACGATGAATTGGTCGATGCTCGACGAATGTTCCTAAAACGCGCGTGTGGAGAGTGAGGTGCTCCTCTAGAGGTGAGGCCGGAGGGGGGGTGATAGAGAACTCTACGAGCGGAGCAGCATCGAGGGGCGATAGCGTTGGTTAGAGAGCTTTGTCCATTAGGTGAAAACAATCGGAAATTGCCCCTCATGCACGAATGTCTAGGGACTTGGGCGCACATGCACTGATGGTGGACGCACGTGGCATACTAGTACCGTGTGTTTACGCAGGATGTCCAAGCGGTGGTGAGACGATACAGCCAAATCTTGATAGATAGAGTTCGGGTCAAACGCGCCATGCAACGGTGTGATGAAGGCGTACTTGAAATACTGACTCGTGTATACTTTTCTCCGACTCCCGAAAATATCTATAGCACTGGGCTTTCGTCATAGCTGCGCATTCGGTCGGACCTCGCAAAGTTTGGCAAATGAGAGATTGGACCTTATTCCTACATTCAGCATGCCAGCAATGGATTTTTGCAGCCTCGCGATGCCGCCACTGGCACGACCACACGGTGTGATGTATGGTCTCGATCAAAACATAGGGGTTGTTGGTGGAATCCGACCGACCCTAGATCACGTACGAGTTTGAATTTGACCGCTGAACACCACTAGCCTGCCAAGGTTGCGCAGGTGTTACGGTCGCGATGCAGGATCGCCCTCTGTACAATCGAAATGATCCGTAAACGACATGAACATTAGTCGAGCAAATGCATCACTGCCATCTAGTCTTATTTGGATGTTTCTGCTGAAAAATTTCTGTTGTTAGTTGATTGTCGTAAAAAAAAACAATAGTGGCGTTGGCCTGTATCTCAATTATGACTCTCTGGTAATGGCCAGCCTCTCAGCAATCTCTTTATGACATCGCTTTCACATCTTGAGTCCAAGACCATCCTTAACAAACATTCATCTTTGCCAAAAGATTTACCTCGCTGTTGAAACGCGTTCATTACGTATCACACTCGCGACCGCAGGTGTCCTCAGACACATGCACTTGGGTAAAGGCTCTTCCGATTTCTAAGGGACAGTCCAACCTCGTCTCTATTGGCTTCCACGCTAGATCCCAAGCTTACTAACCGAATTCCAAGACGATCCATTGCATGTGCGCTACGGACTTGAGAAAGTTTCATGCTTTATCAAAACGCTATGCCGACAATGGAATTGTGCTAAAATAAAACAGCACATCCTGCAACTCCATAAACCGAGCCATAGCACCCACTTTGATGAGATTGGCGCTAGAGCTTGGTTTTCTGGTCTCTACAGCATCTAAACCCAGTAATCAGGGTATTGTAGTACTTTCAATGTAGTTTGATTAGCATATACGATGCTAGCGAGGCATGAGTCGTTGGAAGCAGCGATTCCGCTGATCCGGATTGGACCCACTGAATAGACTTTAGGGACAGTTCGTGACACCGATGGGGACATCTGATCTGAGCGGGATACGAAGAAAACGTCTCAGGTCGGGGCCGCCGGCCGTCATCTGCTCCGTAAGGTGGATTCGAGGCATGTGCCCAAGTCGAAGAACATAAATCGCTTAAGTTGACGCATGTCAAGCTCTCGGATACAGCCACAAGACTTGAACCAATGGGGTAAGACATTGATGCAATAAACTATTGTGAAACGACGAGTAGTCACTAAGCGGTGAGCATTGTTTAGAAACAAGCAAGCTTCGCTATAGTATTGGTAAGAAATTTGGACCCTTGCCTCCTCTGAGATATAGCGTGCAGAGTTATTTACTACAGTGAGAGAGTAGCGGACGGATCCTAGTCTCTAAGTAGCCATTGTTTGGAGTCCTACTGTGCAGCTTTCAGAGAAGCTGCCTGACCAGCTGTCGACTGATTGCGTTTGCCGACGATTTGGTTTCTAGTTGTATCTCATTGGGTGCCATTGGGCCTCACTCTGCCAATTACATTCATCAAGTAGAAGCTTCAACTATCCAAAGTCTCAGAACATAACAATCTTGAAGTGAGATTGGATACTAAAGCAGATAGTTCAGGTCTTAGCAAAGGTAAGGTCCATTGATCCTTGGTGGGATATCATTGGGACACCGACCCTTCAAGTTGTGATTGTCCCTGCTCTACAGCCGCCGTGCAATAGCCTAAAAGAAGACTTGCATTGTCTTCACGTGATTCGGAGTTACTTGTTTGATTGTTACAATGACAAACAATCAACTAGAATTCGAACAGAGCGAAGCATATCCAGCCTCCCTGCCGCAGTACTACTGTCGCGGCGAAAGCAGGCCTCTCCCATGGAATCCCTTTTGTAGTTTGAGCGAGTGCTTCATAATGTGGTACTATTCAATCGTGGTCATGCGCTGTCTTTATTGACAACATTTCACCCAATGTCGAGACAAAGCATGGTAACTCAGGATGTATTTAGCACCGCGACTGGCCATATTTTTGGGTCAAAACCTGCGGCTACAAAATATGTTTGGCTTTACTTTCTTGTCTGGTGTCTGCCACAAAAGTTACCACCGTTCATATCCTTCCATCCAAGTGACAGGAGACGGATCAAATCCTCATGACAGCCATCTCGTGAAGGTGCTGACGCCACATGCCAATAGGATCCATGTCCCCGTTGACCAAAGTCTTCACACTCTTATCCTTTAAACCATAAAGATACGGCTTCTCGTTTGCATAGCAAGCCGTCTCGGCCTCATCGGGCAGCGTTCCCTCCAGGATGTACGTCTTGGCAATCGAGTCGGTGCAGTTGGACGTGTCTCTTGACGAATGGCCATAGCCATGATGCGCAATCAGTCTCGCGTTCCGTCCCATCTCATTCAAAAGTCTTCGACCGTTGCGCAGTGGCGTTGCCGGATCGTATGTCTCTGCGATGAGAAGAACTGGGTTCTTGAGGGTATGGTTGAGATCGCCGCGGTAGATCCCAGCGGGCTTGGGCCAGTACTTTGTGAATTGCTGGCAGGGGAAGACGTTGAAAAATCGAGAATTGCCCGAAATCCAGGACTTGGCAGTCATGTTAGCCCACAGAGATTCCCACCAGTCTAGTCCATTGGGTGGAAGTGGTGCATCGTAAGAGTCGGCGCAGATAACTAGGGAGCCGAGTTCTTCTGACGAAGGCCGCTTGTTAGGTGTGGCTGGCAACGTAGGGTCGTATCCCCAGAAAGCGTGCTCTAGGAACGCAGCTGCCAGTGTAGAGTTGCCTTGTTCTAGCTCGTACAGCATTTTCGCTAGAGCCGGCCAGCTTTGAGCGTTGTACATTGAGCTGTAGATGGCGGAAACGAGACCCGAGTAGGTAACGAGTGATGGGCCACTGTTCTTTGTATAACCAATCATTGGACGGTCAACGAGCGAAGAAATCAGCGTTCTCAGCCGAGCGTCCAGTTCCTTGAGAACGACTGGCTCGTCGTCTTTGGGTTTCGCTAGAGCGCAATGGTCTGGTCCGGCGTTGATGCATTCGCCTAGGAAGCCATCGTACCACGCATCCGTAGCGTTGTCAAGGGCAGTCCATCCAAAGCCGCCAAGCAGACGATGATCACGTACGTACTCGGTTCCGTCCAGAATTATGCGGCCGACGCTATCGGGAAACAGGTTCGCATACGTCTGTCCGATACCAGTTCCATAACTGACGAGATAGCCCGTCAGTTCATCCTCACCAAGGGCCTTCCTGATCTCCTCCATGTCTCGTGCAACAAAGGCGGTGCCGACAAAACGACCCAGATCTCCGTAAGTCTCCCAGCAGGCTTTGAAAGTTGCGTCGTTCATGGCATCCGCAAGATTGAGCTGGTGCTTTACGTCGGACACTTCCAAATACTGTCCGGTTATGAGCGACCAGTGGTCCCGGTCGACATCGTAGGGAAAGCAGGCAATGGAGGGTTGAGTGATGTTGACTCCCCTCGGATCCCAGCCCAGGATATCGAGGGTGCTATCACTGAGGCGCTTAGAAACTTGTTCCGCAACCCTCCAAGCGTAAGAGGTTCCGCTGCCACCCGGTCCGCCAGGCTCGATAACGATAGTACGCTGACTCTTGCCGCCTGGAGGCGGGTTGCTGTAGTCATTGACAGGTTTACCGACGCGAGCCAATCCAGAGACCTGATACTTCGTAATGGCTAGCCGAACAATCCGCTCGTCCGACTTGTTGGTGTAGTCTAGAGGCACTTCCAAGTAACCGCAGAGGTAGATGCCGCGATCAGAGTAAGGGTCGGTATCGCCCTCAATGGAGACAGTCTTGTTGCCCCAGCTCCAATGAGAGGGGTCTGGGTCGAAGCGCTCCGCCCAAGTCTGTTCAGGATAAGGATCATCGAGTGGCGGCGGAATGGACGCGTTCGTACAAGGAATGAGACGGAAAGGGTCTCGAGGAAGAGGAAAGCGACCAAAAGGGGAGTCTTGCGTCAGTGCCGAGTTACATTTATGGTCGTGGCTTGTCCCGTAACACTCCCAACCTAACAGATGGTGTTGGTGCAGGTAGAGATTACCGAACCCGATCAAAGCGACTGTGCCGGCAAGCATCAGTCGCTTGCCAAGTCTCGACGGCGAAGACGGCGGCTGGGTTATCGAGCTGTGTCCCTTCTCCATGCTATCGTTCGCTTGGTTCAACGAGCTCAACTAGGTCGAACGGAGCACCGAGGCATGGATTGTATATAAAGAGCGCGAGTGCAGTAGCTGCGGTGGTATTGGCAATGGTGACGAGAAAGACGCGTTGCAAGCAAACGTTTGCTGTTATTGATTACAGGCCAAGCTGTCGCACCTGACAGCCAGTGATGACGAGGAGTACACGTTTGAGGCGACGTTATCTGGTGAGGGGATCTGATCCTGCGAGTAAGCGTCGCGTCTTCACCTTCCTGTCTGGAAAAGCGGGTCTTTCGGCCGATCAACCCCACTTATAGACCGACCCGGCTCCGATCAATAACTCTGCTAGCTCGGGATAACGATCCGATACCACGGATGCTCGGCATTTTGCTTGACGACGGATTCCAAAATCGGACCCTTGCACAGTTGATCGTTAACAGGATTCTATACCATGTCTAGATGAAAAAGATGGAAAAAAAAGGGCTCATAACAAAAATCAAACATCCGTCTTCCGGTCATGCGTAAAGGGTCCTTCTTTTGAATCCTTCCCCGACGAGTCGCCCCTCCCAAAGGGCCTCGTTTCGCTCGATTCCAAATCTACACTCGCCCGCCATCCCATCCACCACCGACCGCTGAACAGCTCCTCCATCCTCTCCATTGGGATGCCCTTCGTTTCTGGCGCCCAGAGGCCGAGGAGGACAAGACCCGCGGCACAGACGCATGCCCAGAAGACGTAGGCGCCCCAGAGGTTAAGGCTGACAAACATGTTGGGCGTCACCCGCACCACAGCGAACTGGAAGAACCAGTGTAGTGTCATGTTAGTCGCATAGCAGACGCTGCGGATGCGAGTCGGGTAGATCTCGGTACCGTACAGGTACTGCACGGTACACAAGCCGATAGACCAGCCGACGGCGTACACAAAAACCGACGCGATGGCGGCATCGGATGCCGACTTGTTGTTGCTATCCATCCAGATGCCCATGTATACTGCCATGTATATGTGGGTGATGCACTGCAGGAACAAGCCGGTGAGAAAGCATCGTCGACGGCCAAAGACGTCGACCAGTCCCCACGTGAATACCATGGTGAAGACGAGCTTGACGGCACCGTACGCGCCACTGGTGATGAGGGAGGTGTTGTCGCCGACAACACCGGCGTATCGGAAGATCTCAGGAATGTAGTACGTGATGCCGTTTCCGCCGGACCACTGGGCAACGGTCTGCATCACGGCGCCGAGGAGGAACCGCGTACGGTAAGTGGGGATGGTGACAATGTCCTTCACGATGGACCAGGTGGATGCGTCGGCGAGGACCTGCTGCCGGTTGCGTATCTGTTCATGAATCTCCTCGTATTCGAGAGCAAGAGCTTGGTCGCTCGGGTCGGTTTGCCGTAGTTTCGCGAGGACAACGAGCGCCTCGTCACCGCGGTCCCGTGATGCGAGCCAGCGCGGGGTGTCGTCGAGGAAGAAGGATGCAATGAACGCCAGACCTACGGGGATGAGCGGGATGGCGATGACGAGGCGGTACTGCATCCTTGTCGCGGCGAGCGTTACGTTAGCGGCATAGTTGATGAAGAAGCCTGAGCAGGTTGGTTAGTACGAGGATTCCTGGACGGAAGTTCAACGCTATTAAGCTTACCAATGGTTAGGAACGACAGCAGGACAACCATGTATATGCTAACGACCATGCCACGCGACTTGGCCGGCGCGACCTCCGACAGGTACAGGGGCGCGACGACCGTGAGACCGCCGGCACCCAGCCCACCCCAAATGCGGGCGAAGAGCATTAGGCCGAGGATGCCAGACGAGAAGACCTGCATCAAGCAGCCCGTCATCCACACGGCGATCAACAGCTGCCATGCCCTCAACCGGCCGAGCCTGTCGTTGACGGCAAGCGCAATGAGGGAGCCGAAGGCAGCGCCGAGGACGCCAAACGACGAGATATTGGCCTTGCGGTCGGCCAGGCCAGAGTCATTGCCCTTCCATGCGCTAGCTACCAGGCCAAAGTCCTCCTTGAAGGAGGCCAGACCCGTTGACGCGCTGAAGCCGCCTTCATCGTAGCCTGCGGGAGCTAGTCAGTGACTGCAGTGTTGGGTGGAGCTAAGCGAACAGATCGCTGTTGGTCTCTAATGGACTGCGGCTGTTGACCGAGTTGGACTTACCCTTGGGAATAGACCCGCACGAGATAACGATGATTGTCAGTATATAGTAGGGGTTGAGATGGACCATTTTCCGCGGTTGCGATGTTGCGGTGGTCGCAGGAAGCGGCTTCGTCAGTCTCGCGCTTTGCGGGCGCAGGTTGGAAACTCTGGAAAGTTTTTTTAGATTTTTTTTTCCCCTTGCCGGCCCCTATTTTTGCGACACGCAATCTCTGACAGCGTCACACCACACGCCCGCCGCCCCGAGCGTCTTTATGTTTGCCTCCCCCGTTCTTCGTCCTCTTCGCTCTCTATCGCGCCTTGCCCGCAGACGACGGGATACGTCGCCCAGCTTCGCGGGGTTGAAGCGAAATCCTCCACGGGGTAAGACGGATACAGCTCGCGTGTTCCGGAGGTTGGGGCCCTGGTTCTGTTCAACCCCACGATTCCGTTCGTTGGCTCGATTGCGCGGAGTTGGATCTCTTGCAGAGAGTGGGGGGATGGGTTCAGAGAAAACATCGGACGTTGACCGAACGGAGAGGAGAAACTTTGGGTGAAAGAAAAGCCAGAAACAAGAGACCAGAGGCGTCTTAGTAAGGCATCTCCACACTCACTCGGGAGTTGCGTTCATCCAGCCCAGTCTTGTCCTCGAGTGCCGCGCCGGGGGGTTGGCTAAGGCAAGGGACCAAGTATCTTGCTGCGTCAAGACCGCAGTAGAGCTACCTTAGCATCATGCAGTATTCCCGGCTCGCTACTGGCCAGTCTAGCCCCAGTCTAGGGCCGTGTGCCTCTCCGAGCAGAGACCACTCTCACTCTCACTCTCACTCTCACTCTCAGTCGTCCATCTCATCGCCGAACTCGGTTCTGCCAGCACTCACCTCCCTCGGTCAACTTCCGAGGGGCCTTCACGCACATCTGTGGTCCGCGCCCTGACTCGTGGCGAACAGCAAACAAGCGACGCTCACTCGCGCACTTTACACCGCGCCCGTAGTGAACCTGCGGCGCCGCCGCTGCCCAATAGCCCGAGTCCCTGGAGGTCAATCATCCATTCCTCCACTTAAGCCCGCCTGTAGTTGGCCGTCGGACAGGTTCCATAGGGCGCTGAAAATAGTGATTGTCATGTATGCGTAGTTACACAAACCGCTCACCACCGCAACCGACTTCAACATCCAGGCTCCGACTACCTTGGTCGGTCATCCTCCGAGCCCACGGCCCAGAACTCTCAATCCCCAAAACCAGACTTTGACTTACTGACTGATCTGCACCTCATCCCAAACCTTCACCTACCTCCACTATCGTTCCTACAGAGTACTACTTCTTGCATTGCCCGCTGGATCTCTTCCTCGAGTATGCTGCAACTCAATGATCCACACAACGAGCCGGGCCTTCGGCGGAATCTCACCAAGCACAATGGGCCGACGTCCATATGTGCAGGCGCACCGCCGCCGTCATCGCACCTCTCCACTGCCGCCGTCTGTATTGTCCGTTGTTGCAGATAGCAAAAGCCCTGTAACGTCGGCCTTGTTGCCAGTTTGTTCTCGCGAGGAGAAGGATTCATCCCTTCCATGCCTGTCCAGGCGGCCGACCTCCATCAACCCACGCCTACAGCCTCGACGACCACAAGCCCGCAGCTCTCATATCTTTCCCACCACCAGGACCTTTTCCGCTCGCACTCACAAGGTTGCTCTCAATATGCTTCCCAAGAAGCGCATGCTTCAGGCACATTCATCCCTCCTTCATCAGCTCAAGGCCATCATGGCGCTCATGCAACCCCTCCTCGCTCCTACGTCGACTAGACACGACGACAAACTCATACCCAGAGTCGTCCCTGCGCGGCGGAGGTTGACTCTTCCGGAGCGGATACCCCGCGATGCGTGGGACTCCCACATGCACGTAGTCGACCCTGCCGCGTATCCCTTGGCAAAGGATGCCGTCTACTGTCCCAAGACACATCGACTCGACCAAGCCCTCTCCTTCGAAGCATCGGTCGGCATTGACAACATCGTCCTCGTACAACCCTCCATCTACGGCAACGACAACACTTGTCTTCTTGATGCTTTGCGTGCCCTTGGTCCTCGCCGTGGCCGGGCGGTTGTAGCTTTCGAACCCGGCAGCTTATCTGAGAGTACCCGCAGAGAGTGGCACAAGCTCGGTGTAAGAGGTGTTCGCATCAACCTATCATCCGTCGGAAAGTCACTCAACGCCGTGGAACTCAACGAGCTTTTACATCGATACGCAAAAGATTGCAAGCCTCTAGACTGGGTCATACAGGTGTACATGCCCATGTCCATGATCGAGCTGTTGGAACCCATCGTCCCAGCTCTCGGCGTCCGCGTCTGCATCGACCATCTCGGCCATCCTTGCGTCAAAGACATGCCATCACGCAACCCATACGGCATGAAGGGCTTTAAATCCCTGGCAAAGTTGTTGAGAGCTGGCAACACCTACGTCAAGCTGTCAGCACCATACCGACTGAGCTCCAAGGCCGACCACAGCGACTTGGAGCCCATCGCACGAGAAGTCCTGCACCTGCGAGGCAAAGACAGGGTCATCTTTGCAACGGACTGGCCGCACACCAGGTTTGAGGGCCTAGACATCCGACCCTGGATGGAGACGGTTCTTGATTGGTGTGGCAAGGACGATGTCCTAGTCGACAGGCTGTTCAGAGGCAATGCGGAGGACTTGTGGAATACCCGGCACAGAGAATGATGCATTCAAAAGCGGCCATTATTTTGTCTTTTAGCGTTGTTTCCTGTTGCTTTCTAAAACATAGCGATGCCAGCGCTGTCTTTGAGTGGCTAATAACTGAGCATCATTTACGTCGGGCTCACGACGCAATATGATTTCATGACCATGAACCTCTAGAACTTGAGTAATATGATGTGATGACTTGACTTCAATTCATCTCGTGTATCAGTGTATTGCGCTACATGTGTGTCATTGTGGAGTTCAGTTGGTGTGATTTATTTATGGTACCGTCTCGGCCTGGGACCGAGATTCATGAGCCAAAACTCTGTAAGTTGCGCAACACCGAGTGGTCCAAGCTCTTGATTCTCGGACAGATGCCGAACGCGAACGGCGAAAAACACAAGCTGTGTATGCATCCTGGCAACATTGCTGGGGCTCCATACTCACAAACTCAGAACGACTTAATGGTAACGAAGAAACAATTGTCAGTATTTTGCCTTGGACAATCCATGCGTGGCACTGTGCAGTGGTGCAGTTATTCATTCAGTCGCTAGGACGTTAAATATCCTAGCAGACATGTTGTCGGACTTGGCAATTTAGCAACTCTTAGAAACCCCCAAATAAAGTTTGGCCTTCGCGATTAGGCCGCCCTAAAGTCTTCAACTACACTCCCGTAACTTTCTAGCCTCTCTTGATTCGTGCGCATGCTGTTCAAAGCAACACTGGACATGATCGGATAGCTGGCTGTCTCTACAACACCGGTATACTGTACGGCAGCATGAAGGATAACACCTCCGGCGAATGTTGGTAGCAGCTGTATATTCCGGGGGCCTTACTAGAGACAACACGCGAGCCATCTTATTAGTCCTTTTTCTTCCTCTTCCTTCCCGTCTGCTCTCCCTCCTCTCTTTCTGATCATCGCTCTTCCCAGCGGGGTTCTTCAGCAGCTTTCTTTTTTTATTTTCTTCAGCGCCGCCTGCTTGTCCCGAGTAGTCTTCAAGCTACCTAGTACCAGCCTGCACATTAGACAGTCTTCTAGTTACCGACAACGTCGATCATAATCGCTTAGGGACACACGGCTTCTTATTGACTCTGGAAAGGCTTTTAAAGTTGAAAGACGTTTTGTCCCGAATGGGTGTGCAAACACATCTTCCAGTCATAGTAAGATGATTCAAACTTACTTGCAAGCTGGAAAAAGTCACAAGTGGCGTTGAAGGAATTTGATTAACCGGAACCACTCAAGTCGGCAACTCGGCACCTCGCAGCTATCAGCTTGGTCTTCAAGACCAGGATCAACGTTAGCTCCCCATGATCGGGGCATTGCATCACCGAGCCACCGCGCAACATGTCATGTGTGGTCCAGCTTCGGATCGCGTGGAAGAGATTCGAGACGGGGCCACAGCGGAAGAGCCCAACTGGGTCTTATGACACGTAACCACCACCGGGAGGATACTAACGGGGACTGCTGAACGGTTCGCGAAATGCTCGGAGCTGCCCACACTGGTCGGAGACAAAAGCGGTCTTACACTCCGGAGCTGGTGCGGACTACCTGTGCGCGTTGTTAGAGTCGGGAGGTGATGGGGCTAGGATTCTTGCACAGATACCCCTTGCAGGACTTTGATCATTACGAATTGCGCAGTGTACTTCGTGGCATGATTCCAAGAGCCCGGCGGCATTATTCAATTCGTTGCGGAGATGCCCCGGGAACAACGGCTCACAGTGGACATTGATAGAGATCCAACCATGCTTACAGCTAGCTCGGTCCTAACCCTGGTAGGACTCGCTTCTGTTGATCGCCAGTACCAAAGGATCGCGCCTCTGGGCTGGAACCTTTGGTATCCAAGCATTCGAAAGCTAGCATTCCCGAACTGCCCAATTCGGCAATCTTAGATTCTTATCACCACAGCGGCATGGGGGGTGTTGAAGACTCATGTTCTTGAACAAATCCCACGTGCACAAACCTAGCCCCGCACAAAATCCCACGGGGAGTTTCACACACGGCAAGTGATCCCCAGATTCCAACTGGCTGGGCACATTCGCCTAAGTGCGAACTGTTACTTGCTGCAACGTCCACCAGCTTCTACCCCCCTCCCCCGGGCCTCGGAAGGCTTTAGTAAGAACCCCCGGACTCCCGTCTCTGGGCGAGCAAAACATCTATTATTCACAATGTTCTACTGAGGGATTCAGGGCCTCTGTGCTGTAACAGAGGCACAGATCGCTCTATTTCCCCGCTTCTTATGGCATGAGACAAGCTTGTCTATGAAGTCACCATTTTCTTCAGGAGGGGGATAGTTTGCCTCATATCCAACCAACCCAGGGATTATTTCGACACCGAGATCTTCGAAGCACCGTGGCGCTACCATGATGGCAACTATGAGCAGAAAGTCTGATGACGCTCTCAGCTTCTTCGGTATCGACTATTCATCATTGCAAATATTCTCCAAGTTCCATCCCATATCCGTATCCGGACATGCAGCAAACCCATCGCCGAAGCCATCTGCAAGAACCAGGACTGCATGTGAGCGAACGTTGAATAGCGGGCGGATTTCGACCTGAGCTATTATGAGCCGGTCGAGGGCGGAATCGCACACACGTTAAAGGCGGTGACTGAGTGTGTAAAGTGGTGTCTGGGCCCAAAGACTGTGCTGTCTGGTTTCTCACAGGGCGGGCCCATTATCAGAGACTTGCTTGGTGGTGGTGGCGGCGTGTTCATGTCGCAGGATTGTGTGCAGGATACAGACCAGAATACTTCACCGGATGCCTTCCCCGGTGACCACAGCTTAGCCCTGTACAATGAGATAATACCTGCTGCTTTGGGTTTGTTGACATGATACAGATGCCGTTGCATTGCTTTGGGGGCATTCCAAGACATGCTGCCAACCAAAGTTAGACTCTGCTCGTTGGTGCATGTTTGTAATCGGTCCGTATGCCCATGCACAATAAGAAATGACCGAGTCACTAACAACTTAACCAGGGTTTCCCAGGGAGGTCTCCCAGCCTCCACGACTCCTGCAATATTGACGATCCTGCCTGTGCCAAGGGAATCAGCTGGGTTACGGAAGAGAATTATGGGTTGAAGGACGCTGATCACGCCACCCAGCTTGTGTGATCCGAAGCACGTTTTGCTGCCGACAAGCTTTTGTAGAGGATTTAAGCATTGGAGAGAGAGGCCCGTGCTTCTTCAGACCGCCGATAATGTTAGAGTTCATTCACATCTTTGAATAAACGAAGGATACTAGACATACGCTCAACATCGAAAAAAGCAATAAAAATGACAGTCAACCATGACCTTCCTTTTCACAAGAACAGTAAGTATGTAGTAGCCGATTGGTTGGTCTATTCATGTCAGTTACCTTAAGATAACTTCGTTTGACAAACATGACAAAACAACTAGATAGCAGACAACCGCAAAAGGGATGCCCCCTCACGGGATTGAACCGTGGACCTTCGCATGGTGTGCAAGAGTACGAGTGCGACGCTCTACCACTGAGCCAAAGGGGCTTAGCAAGTATGTGCGAAGTAACAAATTCAAAACATATCATGGATTTTTCAAAGTCACTTCATCTTACCGTCGACCTGACACTGTGGATCATGCTGCTGAAGCTGTCATCTCTGCCGTACAAATCACAACCAGACGACCAAAACCCCAACATTACAAGCAGCCACATCTTCTCGGCGAAGTTCCCGAACCCCTACCCCGCGATCTCTCTCCCATCCGGACCAATATTCACTCTTCTCATCCGCACGAATACCCTCAGCCCATCACCTCGGCCCATCTCCGTGGTAAACAACCTCGGCCATTCCCCGTGTCGGTAAACCGGGGTTCCCGTCAGCCATTCACCACTACAGAAATCTTCCCCAGCCCGGCAGCTATACCCGCTGACGGGCATCGGTCAGTCCCACCCACGATCCATCGTCTCCAAGACTTCCGCCTCATAGTTTTCCAGTAGGGGTCTTTTTTTACCCTGTTCGCCTAGACTCCGTTACAGCGAGACTAACAGCGAGTGTTGCGAAAAACCTGCCCACGACCCGCGGGCCGTTGTCCATCATTGCTTAATCTCGCTAAACCGGACAGCAAACATTCCCACAAAAGTTTCCTTGTGAGCATCATCACAAGTCAAGGACCTTGATGAGAAATGTCGATCGGGTCCCCGAACAACTGACTCTCGGTAAACATCCCGTTCCCCGTGCTCTGAAAAACTCTCAATATCGGGACTCCCGTCCGACCCCCGTCGTCGTCTCGGATCGTGGCCGTCAACACCTGCCCGTGAGCCATCGAGAGAAGAGCAACGCAACACTCAACCCACACTCCGCGGTGCAAGATGCCAAAACAACCACGCCCCCCTACTAGCACTGTCACAGCTTTCCCAGAACGGACGAGTCGGCACAGAATCCCGCACACCTGCGCGCCCAGGCCCCGGCACTTCGGTCCTCAGACCATGATGATACCCCGAACCCATCCTATCCGTCCCCCCCCCCCGTGGTCCATCATCTCAATCTCCATACATACCGCCATGCCACATGTCAGCGCATTCTTGGTACCCCAGGGCGCCTAGGCACATGTAACCTCCGGATACATCTTGCATGTACGCGCTAGTCCCTCCCCCAGATTTTCCATGGGAGTCCAGACTTCTCCTCTCCTCCCTTTTGGGCCTCTGACCCCCCAAAAGCTCAAAAGCCTGGGCCTGCAATGCAGTCCCCCTCATCACTGTGTGCCGCAGCCCTCTCTCTCGCGCCCATGTCGGAAGTTGACCGAAGCTGCAAACCAAGAAGGAATTCCGCCGAACCGGGCGGGATGATCTGTATCATGACACCCACAGGCCACTTCGCCAAAGATAGGCTCAGCGACGATCCTCTCACGATTATCGGCGGTCTTGGCGGTGGACGCGCCGAGCCGCCCAGCTACACAGCCTTGGCCCCGTCTCGCCCCTCCCCAAGACTCTTAAACAACGGGAGACGGCGCGAAGCGATTGCGGAGAAGTGATTTCTGCAGAGTTTGTCCTCGTCGGCTACGTAGCGGTCAAACAGGCTTTCGTGATGCTAGCATTCGGACCTCACGGACGATGCCCGAGGGAAGCATCGTCGCCGTGGCCCCCACGCAGCATACGAAGCGCCGGCCCCCAAAGACACTCCAAGGCCTCGGAACATGCCCGAGTGGGCTTTCCTCTCTTGCTCTTGGGCCCGAAGAACTAACTGCGGTCACTCTCCGGCCTCTCGGGGGGAAGAGAAGAGAAACCAGCACGATGGAGAGCCGGTATAATATGTGGGAACACCATGCGGCGATGGGGCGGGCGGACGGCCGGCTTTGTGTATATCACATCGAAACTTCCGCGGCAGTAACGGCAACCGGCTGAAGGGACCATATCACGCCCATCCTGACAAGTGCTCCACGCAAACGGTTTTGTGCCGACGAACACCGAGGTTATCAGATCATACCCAGACACCCAAAGCCACGATAGGGGAGGAAGAAAAACTCCACAAAATGGAGCAGTCCGGCGTCTTGACCAAGATCGTAGCGGGCGGTGTTGCGGGGGTTTCAGAAACGCTCGTCACTGTGAGTCCAGGTCTCACCATCCATGTTCTCACCCTAAACTTAGACCGATCATCCACATACCCACATGTCGTGCGGGTGATCGGATAGCATGGTTCATATACAAAAATGGTATGCAGTACGTATCACATTTCTAACGACGACTACACTACACCAGTACCCGGCCGAGTTCGTCAAGACTCGCCGCCAGCTATACTTCAAGCCCTCCGATGGCGCGGCGACGCCATTCCATCCGCCCAGCTCCCTCTCCATCCTCCGCGACACCGTCCGCCGCTCCGGCGTGAGGGGAATCTACTCTGGCGTCCAGGCGCTCGCGACGTCCAACGCCGCAAAGTCCGGTATCCGGTTCCTCGCTTTCGAGACGACTCGCGCGAAGCTAGACGCCTTGGCCAGCACGGAGTCCGACCCCGACGCGGGCCATGGAAAACGACAGCCGCGTGCGGCGTGGATCAACGTCGTGAGCGGCCTCAGCGCCGGCGTGGCGGAGAGCATCGCCGTCGTCACGCCCGGCGAGGCAATCAAGACCAAAATGATCCACGATGCATCCTCCTCCACCGGCGGCCGGTTCGCGAACCGCGGGCTGCTCGGCGCCGTCGGCGTGCTGGTCCGCGAAGAGGGCGTAAGAGGCCTGTGGAGCGGCCTGACGCCGGTGCTGTGCAAGCAGGGCACCAACAGCGCGGTGCGGTTCACGACATTTGCGATGCTTCAGGAGCGGGTTGCGATGTGGCGGCCCATGCTTGACGGGAGCATCGGGAGCACGCTTGTTCTGGGCGGGATCAGTGGCGTTTTTTACGGTGTAGGTGATGCTGATGAGCGAGCGGGCCGATGCTGAACGTGTGTGCTGATGACAGGTGTCTAGGTATGCGTCGATGCCATTTGATAACATCAAGACTAGGATGCAGAGCGTCGACGCGCGGTACAAGGGTATGCTGGACTGCGCCGCGCAGACGCTTCGCGAGGATGGCGTGCTGGCGTTGTGGAGAGGCACGTCGCCGAGACTGGTCCGGCTGACTGTAAGTTGTACAAAAGAATTGCGGGAGAGAGGGAAACACCCCCCGGCTGACAACGAGAGATAGCTCTCGAGCGGCATCACGTTCACGGTCTATGATCAGGTGGTGCGATTGATGAAGTCGGCCCGAGCAGGCCGCGACGCCGGCAATATACAGCGCCTGTAAGGCCGGCGCGGGGAAATGCTGTGCAGATCCGTTGTGCTGTGTTATTCGTCTATCGCGCCAACCCGGACGCTCAACGGCTCTATGGACGACATGGTCTGGAACACCTGCGGGTCGATGGCGAAGGCCTCGGGTCCGAGTGTGTCGACGAAGGGGAAGTTGTAGATCTGCTCGGGCGAGCTGGTCGCCTCGGGGCCAGGAGGGACAGACGCGGGCGGCACGTTGACCGGCCGGGCCTGCGGGATGCCGTAGGTTGCCATGGGCGGTGTCGCGTCTGTCTTGGGCAGTCCGAGGGCGCCGATGTCGATGCCCAGGCCGACGAGCTCGCGGGTGATGAGGTTCAGGGCACTGCTGATGACTGGAATGTGTCAGTGGGTTGCCCGTGGAGGTGAGCGGCGGGCTTCGAGTTGACTTACCTGGGTTGATGCGCTTGACGGACGCGAGGATGCGAACGCAGTACTCCAGCCGACGCAGCGCCTGCGTATCCTCCACACTGGACTGGACTTGGAGCAAGAAAATGGACGCGGCGATGTACACGCTATACGAAAGGGAAAGGACGCAATGGCTGATGCCGAAGGAGCGGCAGAACAAATCGAAAATGGCAATGATGCCCGTCGCAGACGTCACGCATTCACCCAAGTACCTCTGTACTGGCTGCAGGTTCTCGCCGACTCTGCTCCGCTGGGAAAGCATCGGACGGTAGAGGAGAATCTTGAAAGTGCGGTAGAGTACGCTAATCGAATGTCAGACGACAGTCTTTCGACGACGGAATCTAGGGGGGGCGCTTACTTCAACGTGATGATGTGGGAGGGCGGCGCCAGCGCGGGAAGGGCCGTGGGCTCAATCTTGAGGTGAGGCGGCAGCTCGTCCCACCACTGCCGCAGGGCGACTTCCTGCTTCGCAAGACAGTCCTGCATCTCGGTCTGGCTGTTAGGGCGTACGGGATCATACATGTGGACGAGGATCTCGTTGAAGACTATCGAGAGCCGGCACATCTGCATGAAGCAGGAGGTCGAGTGGGCCGCTGACGGCGGATACTTCCAGCCACCCTCGGGGACAACGCCGAACGGGGTCCAAGATTCGTTCTCGGACGAGTCGTCGACTGCCATATGGTCAGTCTGAGAAGAAAGACAACCAGAGAGAAAACTTACACATGATCTGGGGCGGCGACACCGACGTCTGTTGAAGCGACGGCGAGCGTCCGAGGTAGAGACTAATCATCTTATCCCAGAAATAACAGCTCCAGAAAAGCCGGTGGCGAATCTCAACGTCCTCGTCGCTCAGCTGTACCGAGCCGGGGTATCTCTGACCATCAACGCAAATACCCAAATGATCGATGATGCGGAAAGCAAGGCCACTGTACGTCCACGCCTGTGCGCTGTTGCCGACACTACACTCTTGGGCGCTGAGCAGTAGCAAGGTCTGGACGGTTGGGATGGAACATATGCCCTGGCTGAGCTCCTCAAAGACCATGCTGCGGGCGTGCTTGCCGAAAAGAGCGCCGCCGTCGTAGAACTCGTCCAGCTTCTCCTTTGTAGCGGGGTCGCTCCGGCCCCAACGTATGGAGTGTGATAGTACTGCGTTCATCAGGGTGTGGGAGTAGTATGGTCCCAGTGTCTGCATATCGCCTGGTACAGATTAGTCGCTCGACCAGAATCGACAGGGCCAGTGAGCTTACGCGTGAATGCAGGTCTATAGATGAAGTTGAAAAGGGGCTGAATCCAGCACCAGTGGACATTCAACAGGTACTGGAATGGTTCCTAGCGGGACGTCAGCTAACGAGAGCCTCACTCTTCAGCAAACAGCGGTGGGTCCTACCGGGATATCAGACATGTTCTCAAGAGCTCTCTGTTGCCAAGCGTTGGCAACTAGCCTCTCACGCCTCTGCATAGCGTGGTCTGACGTCGATTGATGATCCCTAGACCCCGAAGGCCGGTCGCCCGGCAGCTGGAAGAAACTCGTTGAGCCATGATACGTGATGGCGCCCTTGTCGTCGACCTTGAGGCCCTTGAAGCTCTCGCTAACGGATTCCTCGTCCTGCGACTCAAAGTGGTGAGGATCCGTCATCGGCGACTGGCCCGCCGATGGCCCGATGCTGGGTGACGACGTCCTTGACGGCTCGGAGGGACCCGGAGCATGAGCTCTGGCGGCGGCCAGCTGGGCCTCTAGTTCCTTAATGCGATGCTCCAGTCGTGATGTGTACGACAGAGTTGGGTTGCTTTGCTGACAGTCAGCTCTCTCTTGTTACACAAGCCCGGATGAGGCTGGGCGAGGAGGAGGACTCACAGCTTATAGACGCACTCATCCGCGCGAGCGGCGCACCGGTTGCAGGTCGGCTGCTCTCCGCCGCATTTCACCTGCCGGACGCCGGGTCAGCCCACCGTCTATCCGCCATTCAACGTCCATCAGCGACCCAAGGCCCCTCTCCCACAAGCCGTAAGCAGGCTGAGATGCCCGATCGCCCGGAAGTGCCAGTCACCGCACATAGTCCGGGTCTGGTCACCTCAGGCAGGATCAATCGTCAAACGATGTGCGCCCGCCTCGGCGGCCCTCCGCCGCACCGGGTGGTACAGGGGGGGGGGGGGGGGGGGGGGGGGGGGGGGGGGGGGGGGGGGGCGTCACGGGTTTGTGGCGCGGTCGCGGGGAACGCGGCAGACGAGAGGCGCACGGGGAAAGGAGAGACACGCAGGAAGGGTACAAAAAGAAAAGGGCAGGGAAAGACATACCTTGCGCCGGCGACACGGCTCGCACGAGAAGGCGCTCTTCTTAATGGCCCTCGTCGAGGACATGGTGATCTCCCATGGGCTAGTTTTCTCCTCACTCTCTATTCCCGAAGTTGATGCGGGACGAAAAGAAGTTGAACTGTGCCTCTAGTGGAGAAAAAAGAGTACCGGCGAAATCGGCTGGGTAGCGCTCGCCCTACATCGGGTTCGCTGTGGACTTGGGGAACTGGAACTTGGTCTTGGACGACGGCTTCGCCCGGGTCGGGAATCGCGGGAGACGCGTGCCCCACTGTTTTTCAGCGCTCCTGCTCTGCTCTGCTCTGCTAATTTTCGGCGCTACTTTTGAGGTGTGACGCGCCTGAGACGACCATGAGCAAATCAGGCCCCACGATGATGACAACAGTGCCAATCACAGTCCGCGAACGAGACCCACACGGCCCGCTTTTCGCCCAATCGTTAGCGGCTTTCCCCGATGCGTCCCTCCGACTATTGCCCCGCTCCTCGGTGAAAGTGGGGGTTTGACCGAGAACCGAGAGTCTCGCTTGCGCCAGCCTTCCGCCGAGCGTCACGGTGTAACGCACGTGCGCTTCTGCTCACCGAGATTAGGTAATCATCGTTTGTTTCTATCTCATGTCGATTCTCATTTCACTCTCACGTTTCACTCTCACTCTCACTCACTGATGCTTTCCACCTCACCTTTCATTCTCATTACCAACAGGTACATATTAATCTTGACAAAATCAACATCTCATGTGGGACAATTACTCGTCGTGCTCTTAAACTCACAAACATGCACTCCAAGGTACCTGCTGGGTATCCTGAGCAGCGACTGTGCCGCTGTGCCGCAGGCACGTCCCGATTGAGATTGGTCCGATGACAGTCCCTTGGTGATGGTAGGTCGATATAAACGTGCTGCATGCTGTCCCCCAGCCCCTTATCGCCTTCAGCCTGTTTCGTGTCATTTTCAGGTTCTCAGCTGAGGCAATGATACTACCCAAGCCCCCCGTTGTTGCTGCTCAATCCGCGAATGTGATAATCTCAACATGACCACCCCAACGTCGACTTCGACTTCGACCGGCTCTTTGTCGCGTACCACGCCCTCGCTGAACTGTCTCTATCCATACGACTCGTCTATCTACCAAGGAATCTGCGTTGAGGCTTACGCGACTTCGTGGAGCGGGTGCCCCCCGGGCTACACTTCGGCATGTGGTCGCACACTCGATGGAAGCAGTGATTTCTACATCACTGCGGTGCCCAGCTCCGCGGGTCTATCTAATCCCACGAAGAATGTGACGCTCATGACGAACTTTTACCAGATGGTGTGCTGTCCTGAGTGTGTCCCCCTTAGCTATTACGAGGTCTTATCCCAGGATCTATGGGTTCCACTCACGATGGTGGTCTTGAACAGGACTAACTTTTTTCCCCCAGCCTGATGCCCTGGGTTTGTGCTGGAGCAGTCATGGCTGCGACCAGTTGCACCTTCATCGCCTCGGCGGATACCATCTTCGATATGGGCACGGCTTTGAGTGTGTATTCGGTCGTGTCCGGACAACGGTTGAGCGGCTACGGCGTCACAGCGACCCAAGCTGTGATCACTTCAAGAGGGGCATGGGAGGAAGACCTTGACAACTCGTCCGAGCACACTGCGGAGTTGAAAACCATCGTGGAGGTGGAAACCACTACTGTGTGGTGTGACTTGCCATCATGCTCGGGCCTGACCAGCAGGCAGTTCACAGGCGGTAGCAAGATGACTGAGACGAGTACGTCGACGAACATGCCAACGAACACGCCGACAGTGTTGCCTTCGCCGTTCGTCCTGCAGCCGCCGCAGCACATGGGGAAACTCGGCAACCTGGGGGTCTTTGCTATATCAGGTTTACTCGGGGCCATCATCTTCGCGGCGGCGCTGCTCTTGCCGTCGGCAATGGAGTATCGCAAACGAAAACGACAGCAGGTCCAAGGCCAGTGAAGTGCAAATTGGGGATGTAACATCTGGATCAGAGGATACTGAAGGGAGCGAGGCGTCTGTTTATTGTCTGAAACTGAATGCTTCTTGATTAATGGTATCTTTCGCTTATGGGTATCTCATGTCTTTTTCTTCAGTAAACTAATGACGGGCGCCGATGTTTTTCCTTGATCGAGGTCCCAAATTCCAATCCTGTTGACGCCGTGCCGAATAACCGTTACAATTTTTCCATTCCCCGAACAATTTCACCATGAGTACTTTGGCGATGATCAAACCTGCACCATGGCCTCGTTCTCGTGTCGCGTCCTGTCGTTGGTGAACTCGAACCAGGCGCGAGCGAGGAGTCCAAATTCAGACATCCTGAGGGCTATTAGTCTACATGGCCCAGTGAGGGTGAAAGAGCAAAAAGAGACTCACATCATGACACCAAGGAGAAACGCCAGAGCGGCCTCGTATTGAATATACGGATATGCATAGTAGCCGTTGGACTTCTTGGATTCGATCTGGATGACGAGGAGGATCCAGCAAATGGTCGTCCCCAACACGAAGCACAGCTCCATGCCAAAATGGAAGTGCTTCGGGATGCCGCCACGATACGGTGTCCTCTTGCGACAGACCACGGCCGCGATCGACCATATCAGCAGCAAACATGACTGCAGAACCTGTCAGTAACTACGTCGTCTCACTTCAACCTCGCATGCACTCACGATAGGTACAGTCAGCCACAGCGTGTAAAAGATGGGGTCCGCCGGGCTCGTCGAGTCGTTGAGGTATTTTCCCCTCCTCGAAACATAGATGTTGATGTTGAGAAACATGACGACTAGCGGCACGATGATGGCAATCTGCCGCAGGACGTAGTACATGTAGGTGCACCGGCGCCTCTTCCGGTTGAAGCGGTCCGTCTCGGGCGAGCAGGCGCTGCCGCCGGAGCGGGGCCGCCCGGGCTGGCCATACCAGTGTTGCTGCTGCTGGTGCCGAGCGGATGTGCTGTGCGTTGATGATGCGGCGTCGTTGTCGGGTGTGTAGTAGAGTTGTGTGTTATTGTGGCCGTTGGCGTACATTTGACCCCCGGGCGGGTGGTGATATCCCTGGCTGTAGGGCGGCGCTGAGTAGCCTTGATGGCTGTATGCGCCGTTGTGGAGGGACATGGCGTCGTCGGCGTCGGTGGCAGCGTCGTGTGTATGGTTTCTCTAATCCCCTTTGCAGGTTCGTCTTCTTCCTTTCCCTCCTTTCTGTTGACTCCTCTTCCCTAAAGTTATTTAAGGATTTGCGTCGCTAATCTTCAAGAAGATGGTGATTCCCCACACACAGTCAACACTGGGCGCAGCTCATTGACGGAGGTCCAGGTACCTAGGCGGGACGGCTGTGATATGGAGAGGGGGGGGGGGTTCCGGGGGTTGTTAAGAGCTGTCCAGGAAAAGCAAAAGGCCAGGGTGCGGTGCAGTGCGGTTGGTGAGATGGGTTGATCAGAACACAAAAGCCCACATGACGTTTCTGGCGCGACTTCAACGACCTTTTAGGAGAAACGGGCAGTGTGCGTTCGAGTGTAGTGAGGAAAGCCCAGAGACGCCGAGCAAAGAGCTCTGATTGCGCCTGACCATTCCCACCGCCTCCCAAGAAAAACCCGAGAAAAACTCAAAACGAGAGAAATGGGCAGAGAGAGGGAATGAATGACTGGGTGAGAGGGGGAGGGGACAACAGAAAAGGAAAACGAGGCCCAGTGCTTTCACTGGGCAGCTGGGCGGCTGGGCAAGTTTCTGGGCAAAGCCTGGGCAAAGGCTACAGTAGCGAGAGAGAGAGAGTGCGCAGAAAGAGAGTGAGAGGGACAAAAGTCTGGGCATTTTCTGTTCTATGAGAAACAGAATGAGAGTCTCGAGAGGTCTCAAAATGCTGCTTGCCAAGAGGCGCTATCAGCTCACTGACTCCAAAATGGGCCACAGAGGCCGCCTTGGCCCGCCTAGGCTTGTCGGGGGGAAGAAGAAGAGATGTACGATTTTCGGTGGTGTCTTGGCATACTTATCTCCTGGGCACCGCAGCTTGGCTCTTGGGGTGTTTGGGTTCGCAGTCAGCCCGCCGGAGCTAGGACGCCAAGAAACTCAAGCAAGATGAGCGGCGGCGAGCAACATGTCAGGCTGATGTTTGCCAATGAGGGGGAGACGGTAAGAGACGAGGACTTGATGCAGCGTGCCTTTGGAACCAGACACTTCAAAGGCGGGATGTGGGCGCATTTGGTACACACTGCCACATTGCCAACGCAGGCACGACATGGCAGGCCACAAGTGAAGCAGCACAATTGAAGAGACGAGGCCAGACATGACGATAGGAAATATTGTTTGGTCAGAGCCTGTTGAGTAGGAAAGGGGCTTGTACGCTTGGAAGACGTTACAGCCAAACTCGCCAAGCAGGCTGCGGTGTGCCGCCCATTCCACCAAACAGACCCTCAGACACTCTGTACGGTGCCCAGGGGAGCGCTGCGCTGCATTGTGCTGGCCTAGGCTTCTGGGCGGTTGCTGCAGCTTTCTTGGGCGCATCCAGAGGTGAAGCGGTAGCATGAGCATTTCCCGCGGATGGCGGTGCCGTTTCGGCTGCAGAAGCAACCACAGAAGGGCCTAAAGGCGAAGAGGCCAGGGGCAGGCGACGGTTGCGCTGGCCAAGGGCCATGGCATTCGTCTGTCTCGGACGTATTTGCTGTCCTGTCTGGCTCACTATTCATCGCCATGACATTTGGCATTGCGCCCTGTTTGACTCGGCATACCTCAGCATGCTCGTCCGGCGCCAGGCGGGATTATTCCCATTGCATTTCCGTTCCGTCATTACAACTGCCAATCCCCCGTGTCTCTCTTTTCCCCTCAAGTCTGGAGCTGTGGTGTCCGGTAGTGTTTGGAGAAACGCAATGGACACGAAGGAAGCAAACGATACGAAGAGGGAGATTAGCATTTGGTAATTTTTGCTTGGGAGTTGGACCATCAAAGTTCTGGGCGGGAACCTTTTGCGGCGCAAACGTCTGACGAGCCCTGGGCATGCAAGAATAGGTGCGTAATTGCAATCTACCGTGCAACTTACAGTGAAAAAGAACATCCTGTTCTAGTTTTTGCTCTTCTTCCTCCTTATTTCTTCAGCAGCAGCTCTATCGTGAAAGAGACTCTCACGAGCCTGCAACCGTCATGAAGCAAACCCCGGCCCGATCGATGGGAGTACCGAGACATGGTTGTCCGCGTGCAGCAACGTTGCGCCTGCGACAAGACGGTCGAGACCGCTGCCACTGTGACGGAGGTGTACGCATCCAGAAGCTTCCTTAACCCAAACAATTGACAACAAACGGGCGCTTGCAAGATCACAACAGCAAGAGAGGGAGGTACAAAAGAAGCCCATCCGTTTTCAGTCTCACCCACTGCTGGGCGAAGCCAAAATACCTCCCCCAAAGTAACTTTTCAGGGTCCATTGGAGGGGTGCGGGAGTGATGACTGGCAACTAGCATCCGCGCAATCCCTCATTACCCTTGCCTAGATCTTGCCGAATCTCAACACCGGATTGGAAAAGCCCAGAAGCTATGTCTGCGCTGCGTTGCTCTGCCCAGACTTTTACTTCTCAAGGCCCCCCAAAAGGTCCTTGTAGCACTGCTTGGCGAGCCGCCAAGCAACCCCGGCGAAGTCACTCAAGACATTGCCAGTCAGGTGCTCAGCTTGTCCCTTCTTGAACCGCTGATCTTAAGGCCCCGTAGGCCAGCGCTCAGATGACGGACATGACTCCGAACAATATCGAGATTGGCGATCGTTCTACAGCCTCCAGTTCCGATGCATCACTTTCCCACTTCAAAGTGCTCACGACCAAGTCGTTCACTTGGCTTCCCCCGGCTAGACAAGACTCTTGGGCAGGCTCTTGTTTTTCAATGGTTCGCAATGCGGATGGGATTAGCGGCCCTGGGCGTGCCCCGGTTTGACACCTCGTACGACACTGCTTCACCCCAAGACCTCGTACAAGAGCCCGCATGTTCCAGGCGGTGATTATCACAATGCTGGACACCCGGCTGGGCAGCGCATCTCGAAACGAACCATTGATTCCGCACCTGTTTGAATGAGTCCCGTGGTTTCTTTCAGTGTCGGTTGTACCAGCACCCGGTCGCTTCGCATCTGCCTCGTCCCGCCCAGAGCATTAGCGCCGCCTCGGCCAAGAGCACGTTCTGATCCTCACGCCGGGGAAAGACGACGGGGTGAAGAGGACAAACAGCGAAAACCAAAAAATTGGGCGGTGACGCGCACGAGTCGCCGCGGGCGAGTCGGCCACATGGCGCCTTGGCGTTGGGGTCTTGTACAAGACTTTTCCAGGCTGATTAGGCCTTGGCGTCCTGGGAGAGGAGCCGAGTCGGAGATTTCCGTACCTCATCCTTGGGTCCCAAGAATTCACATAGCTTCCAGGGATTGATGGTCATGTGCTTCGCGGCTCGAATCAACAAGATTGAGAGGCTCACAGAGCGGATTGAACGCAGGGCGTGCAGCTGCGAGAGACTTTGGGGTGGAGGAACTTGACAGTCAGCATCTTCTTCTCTTTCATGGTTTTCTCGGTGCTCCACACTGGGCACTAACTGCTATATTAGAGACTTTGCGGCTAGTAGCGGCACTTGATACGTGCTGGGTTAAACTCAGACCCTAACCCAGAATGAGTTGAAGAAACCTTCCACATCTTCTCGCTTCCGCCCTCCCTCCAAGCATATAAATCACGTGTAGGGCTGAGAACTCCTACATGTACTTGCTAGAACATGACATTGTTGTATGCCCGCTGGTAGATTGATTAGTTGCCACAGGTTGCACCCCATTTGTCATGCAAGTTGAAGAGGGGAAACGGTGCAACCAACATTCCAAGGGAGATGGGCAGGTAGGGCCATAAAGAGGTAGGTATGCCAATTGACCAAGCCTCGAGCATTTTCCGTCCCCACCTTGTATTTCTCCTCATGAATGATCGTCTAGCTGTAGCATCTAAATACCTCATTCTGAATAGACGCTCTGTATCATTCTAGTCGTTGATATTGCCTAGTAAAAGTTGTCACGTTGGCCATGCAGCTTACAGGTAGCATATGCCTCGAGCAATGGTAAGGTAGACAGCCATTGCTGTTTACTTTTGGACTACAGCTTCAGTCATGCGCTATTGGTAATACTGCATTTTCTCGTCTTAGCGATCAAGGGCTCTGACTACTGGGGGAATGGCGAAAGACCAAGCCGTCCTTCTCATAACTGGTCCCACAATGACATGATAGAAAAAGACCTTTCCTCGTCGACAAATGTATCAAACTCACCGTTTGAAACAAACAAGTATATAAATGGAGTTCCCCCCGCCCCCATAGCCTCATCGAAATTGAGTACGTACAGCCATATTAAGGCTGGTTCTTTGCAGGACGTACTCGCATTCCCGAGCTGTCAATGTAAGCTGTTGTGCCGAAACAATACTCAAACCTCGCATGCTCGCAAGCGGTTATCGAACACTACTGGTTGTTTTTTGGAAGGCGGCTTTATGTAAGTACATGCGAATCGCAAGAGCTTTACTTGGCTCATACCAATGCATGCTGTTAGCGGTTGCGCATGATTGACCTTTGACGGAAAAAGTGAACAGCAATCGTACATACAAATCATTCTCAGCAAGTACGCTCTAGACAAGTCATACTTCCGAACATCTTTTGGACATCATATAACATTCAACATGGTTCTAAGGTTTATCAAACCACATGATTGCGCAAAGTTAATCCTTTGCCATAGCGTGTTTTGGACACACACCCATAGCTTAGTTCTCAAATACTGCTTACATCATCCCAGACTGACAGTAGCTTCTCAAACATGGTTTTGTTAGTCCGCGATTAAAATGATACCCAAACTGATGCGCACATACGATTCATCGCTACTAGAATGATTTCCTTTGAATAGACATGTATAACGACTTCGACAATTTGTAACGTTGGGAATGAAGATTTATTCTGGAATGTTACTCCGAAACCTTCATGTGGTCGTTGAGTCGAAAGATCGTGCCTTCCGAGGATCCGCCAATATGCATGGAATCAACCGTACAGCTTGAGGTCCTTGCTGATTCGTCAGTCAAAACACCAGATTGGAATGGCTTTTGGCATTTTACATTTGCGTGAAAGTCCTAAGTTAGCTGTACTTTAGTTCTAATGAAGCCGGACGATCGGGACAGAATCATTTGATTAACCCGATTTCCTAAGCCTGAAGGCCTGATTGATCGCGCTCATTGCAACTGATCCTGGTTGAGAAAGTTAATTGTACAACCAATCAGTTAGTTGCCCAGTGTAGCGGTTTTGGCACTTGGCACTGATGTGGTTACCAAGGGGTTGTCATTTTTTCCAACCACAGCGGCTTCTATTGTTCATCGGAACGTCTTGATGGCCGTCGCCAAGTTCCTGAACTGGAAGCACAACACTAAGGTGTTCAATATTTGGCTTGCCAACCTCCAGTCTGATGCTTTTTAGACCCCCCCGTCGCCCTGCTTTCTTATTTACGCCGTTGCGCAACCTACGCGACTCATCAACCTATTGACGTCAGCCAACGGGCCCAGCTAGCCGTGAGGTCTTGGTAGGGACCAAAGCTGACGCACGCAGTGGAGTCCCCGCGGTCCAGCACTGCCGAGAGGGCTCCCTCGAGCCCCTGGACGACTATCATAGATTGGGTGCTTGTTCCCCAAAACTCCGTTTTCCTGCTTCTAAAGTCCTGCTTCTCCAACTTTAACCTCGTCTGCCCACCCACCCGCATCAGTTCGTTCATCTTCCTAACCAGACCTTATCTAACGCACGCGCCATCTCCAACTACCCCTCATATTAGATCACCGTCTCTCGTGGTTCAAAGTCTTCATATCTGCAAAGAGTTGCCTCTCATGGGATCCTGCTGCTCAACCTCCGACAACTCGTCTCAGCACGAACTAGACCAACCAGCCCGCCCCGCGCAGCCGCCATCTAACATGCCCCCGCGCAACCACGTGGTCACTCTTGAGAAAAAATGGGCCTACCACGCCGTCGATGGATATGAGCTCAATAACAACACCTGGGGCCTCGAGAGTGCCACCTCCGGCTCCCAGCGCACGCACTATGACGGGCCTTGCCCGTCTGGTGGCTCAGGGGCCGCGGGCATCTCGTGGTCGACCGACTGGGAGTGGCAGGGCGGTGAGCACAACGTCAAGTCGTACGTCTACGGCGCTCGGCAGTTTGAGCGTCGCCTCCTGAGCGAGATCCAGGCCCTGCCGACCGAGGCCGAGTGGCATTACAGCACGTGGGACGTGCGTGCGAACGTCGCGTATGACATCTTTACGGATCCCGACAAGGATCATACGAACAGCAGCGGAGAGTTTGAGGTTATGATCTGGTGAGTTGACAAATCGCATTCTGAGTGAGAGGGCAAGGGTACGAGTGCACGTTAGCTGACTTTGTGAAGGCTCGCGAAGCTGGGTGGTGTGTGGCCCATTAGCGAGTCCAAGGCGCCCATCGCACACGTTGAGATTTGCGGACACCAGTGGGAGGTGCACTTTGGGTATAACCACGGCGGCGCAATGAAGGTGTACAGCTTCCTGCCAGTGAACGGCCCGATCCAGCACTTCACCGCGGACGTGAAGCAGTTCTTCAACTACCTGAGCCACCAGTTCCAGTTCCCGCAGCACAACCAGTACATGCTGGGTAAGTTCGCCGTAGCCCTGTTTCTTGACCCGAGACACCTGCTGACAGCGTGGACAGTCTACCAGCTTGGTACCGAGGCTTTCACCGGAGGGCCCGCTGAGTTTGTGGTGCCCAAGTTCATCGCCGATGTTGTCTGAGAATGAGTCATGTGTGTGATCGGTTGCTTATGATACCATAGATAACCTCAGGGCGCATAGGCCTTGACGTGATTGCTCATAACTTTTATAGTCTATAGTGGTAATACAGGATTTAATACATGATGAGGGGAGATGATCCAGCACCGGCCTCGGGTATCACTCATCACGCAACGCAATGGTCTACGCCGGCTGTCAACAACAGTTTGGCATACTGCTGGTGCATGAATATCTCTACACCGCCTAGAGGCACGCCTTTGCCCTCGCTGACGCCGTCAAGAACCATGGACTTGAGGTTGAATCTTGCGACTCGGGTCTGGGGGTCAAGCTCCGTGGTGAGAGTGATAAAGGTGTCCATCTCACGTGGACCTTCTGGGGAAACTCTAGGGGAAAGACCACCGCGGAGCATGAGACTGTTGGGGGACTTGTCGACGACAATGAAGTCGTCGGCGAAGATTGTGCCTGCGAGGATGAGTTGGCATGATGCACGCAAGGAGGCATCAGATGCAGGTGGACGAGTAACCTACCCACTTGGTATGTGCTCTTCAACAGTTGCTCCTTTTCCCAGAGGTCGGTCGCATTAGACTCATTCTTTCGAGCCTTTTCCATGATCTTCCGTTGGATACTGAATCCTACTACTGATCAGTACGGGTGAAATGGACCTCAATAACCGGGCTGCTAACCGTATCTCCCCCAGACACCCGCCGAATACGTCTCCACAAGTCTTGAACCACCATTCAGTGCATCCTCCAACAGATCTGGCCTGATTTTGTTGAAGGGTACAGTTTTGAAACAGCAGTCGTGGAAGTCGGGGTTGTTTTTCGGGTTCACCTTCTTAAGGAAGGGATGCTGGAAGATCGGGTCTGTTGCTGGGGAGAATTGATTATCGAACGCACATTGACGTGTCCAGAGATGGAATCCAGCGGGAACTGCGACGGCAGTGCCAGCCACGATCTTGGAGAACGTCGCCAACCTCGCGCGTGAGAAGAGAGTTGCCATTGTGAGACGATGGTTGACGCTGATTGGGCGAGCGAGAGTTTTCGGAGAGATTGAGTTTAGCGGAAGGGGAAGATGGGATGTGAACATAAAAGGCCTGAATCCCAAAGCCATGGTACACGGACAGGGACCGAAGCGACAGGGCTCGCCTGTCGCCTGCAGATGTCGTAAGAATTTCTCCCCAAAATCGACTTGCCTCGCGCTTCGGCCTTCGGACTTGCAAGCAAGAAAGGGGCATTTGCCAAGGTGACTAAGGGTGAAAAGAGGCTCCACCTTCCGTTTGTGATATCCACTCGGGCCTCGGAGGTTCCCGAGGCAATGCGGCTGAGTGTAGCTGCATTTACGAGTCTTGTCCACCTACTGTTTGGAGTGCTCAAGGCTAGAAAGTTTTTGAAGAAGTTCTTGAATCCTATTTTGGAGAATTCACCTTCGCCCAAACTGTGAGAACCGTGATATTGTGCAAGGATGCGTCTCTGTCTTTGCAGGCATGGTCGTCTTAGCGATGCACTCAAAAACGGTGGCGCGAAATAGACTTGCAAACTCGCCAGTCTTCAATCTCGGAAGCCGGTGAAGGCGAGAAACAGCAGAACCTCTTCCTACATCTCGGGCGAAGACATGAAAGGAGCGATATTCAACCTCTTGTAGCGTTAGGCCGGCGACCGAAGTGCAGTGACTATGAAAGACTCAAAGTTCCCGGAAGCGGCGAGTCGTCTATAAGAGCAAAAGGCAATGTGACCTCGAAGGCTATGCTAGGCCGAAGCAGCTCTCGTAGTCTATTGGAGACGCTGACGACCAATCGATGGCCAAAACCAGGCACTTAGTCTAGTATTGGGTGGCAGCGGAAGCATATGGGTGTGGTTACACAACATGTGGCAGGTAACAGGCTGTAGTCAGCTTGCCTAGTCCATCCTGAGAACTAGTACACTTTAAGGATCGACCAGCTTGCAGTTCTCATCTAATTCCAGGTGCGCCTCAAAGCTGCCTACAGTCAATCCACCTGTATACCCGCTGCCGGTTTATCTCCAGTCCAGTTGCTCGTAGATTGCCTTCGAGAGTGGTTTGCAAAGCCCGTGCCTTCTATATTGGAAGTATAAGAGTGTGACGTGCACGCCCTGTTCTTGGTGAAGTCACACACACCTGGTCAGTGGGGTTTTTAACGCCATGCGATGATTGCAAAGCTCATATTTCGCGACTGTTCCTTGCAAAACACGACCCTGATAAAAGCGCCGGTCCCTGCAATGGACTTGAAGGCATATACTACCCAGGAAGGTATTGACAAGGAGCTGGAAAAACATTTGGAAAGTTTCGCACCTAAGGGGGATAGCGACAGCGATGCGAGTTGGTCTTATCAGTGCACAGGAAAAGTCAAAGCCAAGTGGGATGAAGAAGGCGCCAACAAGAATAATGGGATTCGGTGACACATCAGAAACGAAATCATGGTTGATGATGAAGGCACGTGATTCAACGACTCAATGACTGTTGCTGATGTCAAGGATGCTTGGGGGATAATCATAGGGCTTTGTAAGGAGTATTGCGGCCGGGACGACCTAAACATGATGAGAAAATTGACACAACCCTCTTACTTTAGGATATGACTAATGCAACATAGGTCACAAATTTCAACCGTCTCGCCGCCGGTTCCACCAGCTACTTACTCCCATGGCTCGCTCTCGCAGCTCAGCTTCCATATGAGACCGGAAGCACCGGAGCCGACATCATGAGCGTATGCGTGAGTCTCGGAAGTCGGGTGCTTATGCCCTTTCCCCTGATGATGACGATCTTAAACAAACGATGGATTCGAAGAAGGTTCAAGTACCTCGCCAGGACTGTTGAGGGTGACGGATTTAACCAGCTGAAGGTCCGGATGAAGAGTGCGCGAATCATTGCCGAAGAGTCTTGGCAAGCGCCCGCTAGGCTGTCACAGAAACATGGCTGGCTTGCGCGGCTAGTAATGTTGGACCTGAACACTTCTTGATGGAGAGAGACCGCGAGCAGCTTGAAACCAACTCGTCGCGGTGCCACCCTATCTCTGTATTCGCAGCTGTCCGTGGCTGTCATTACCTGGGTCCTCACTGCCATAGGCTCTCTACAAACTAAAGTTGGTGATAGAAATGAGGCAAGAGTCTTGTCGGCAGGGTCTCTATGGATATGGCTGGGGGTTTATACCTTTGCTTGCTCCTTGCGAGCGAGCCAGCAAAACGCTAACGCCGTCTTCTATTCAGATTCCCGTAATCATAGGTTGGGTTTTGGTTGGCACGCAGAACAAGGAGGATACCATTTGAATAGCTTTCGGCAATGCGAACAACCGCATCAGCGTCGGGAATGAAGAAACAGGAATTGAAGTGGTCAGCGACAATAAAAATGCGATATTGACCGATCCCGACACGAGATGTGTAAACTTACCCCCCTTACCAGGACTATACGAAACAGTCGACCAAGAATGGGCCTAGGGATATTCGATGTCGTCGGCTCTCAACGACAACAAGGAACAGTGTTCAATTACGCCCGATCAATCACCTGGCTCAACTTCGCGGATCGTTTGTACCTGACCTTTGAAGCCGCAACCGAGAGAATAAAGGAACAGAAGGGCCTCGCATCCCAGCCATGCATGACGAAGGACGACTACGTCAAAATTTCCGCCGACTGCGGGCTCGCACCCGAGTTCTGTAACTACGGCAATACACAAACCTAATCCGCCTCAACAACAACCGTGCCCAAATGCAGTATAGGGAGTCGTCAGCAGCTTCTAGCTGCGGAAAGACCGCCAGGCCACGAAGTAGTCGAATATCCCAGCCTCAGCGAAATGTCCCCTGTTGCGATGTCGACTTTTTGGCGGCACGCCGTGCTATCCATCATCGTGGCATTCACGTTGCAACGGGGCACAACAGGCTGGACGATCGGGGAGCTATGCCATCTACGGTATCCTTGCAACAGCATCATGCGCTGCGATGCTGTTATCGGCATGGCTCTCGCATTTCGCAATGCGAGGATATCAGCGTGAGTTAAATACGACGGGGCACCTCACCGTCCATGGCATGACGCCACTTTGCGGAGCCGCCGCAGTCATAATACGGCTTTTCGGCCAGTTCCTTCTCGTCGGCAATACAATATGGCTTTTGGTATTCTCTATATTCGAACTTATAGGGTTTTTTGACAGCTGCTACTGTGCTGGGACGCAATTAAGTAGGGGACTTGAACACGGCTGGGTCCTTCTTTTCAAAAATGCAGATGCTCTCGAGGTCGACGCACGGCCTGCTTGGAAAACGGGAATCGGGATGGGTTTCCTAACCATCTTTTTAGTAGTGATAGTTTTCTACCTAGCCTCGCGACAAAGCATATATAATCACAGGACGGACGCGTTGAGTGACTTGTTTGATAGAACATCAAGTAAGCTAAGTAACAAGTAATACCATCAGAGTATCGAACCCCAAAGACATAGTTGAGACCGCACTTTCACCTTGGCGATCTTTGCCTTCTTGGCTCTGATCATTAGGCTATATAGTCACGCGCCCGAGCGGAAGTCAACAATTTTGTACAACATTGCATCAAGGTCCTGTATGCTAATTCCAGGTTATTGAACTCTGTCTGAGTGGAATCATAGTCTGTTCATGCTCGCTATGCTAGGCTCTACTTGGATGCTGTCATTATGAAAACTCGTAGTAGACGTGGTCATACGCTCCCCCATTATCCACCTTGACCTGAACGAGCTGCTTGTTGATATCGAAGTCCGCTATGGCGCCCTTAATAGCAGACGAGAAGATTGTTTTTCCGAGCCTTTCCCAACAGGTCGTGTGGGTCTGTTCTGTGTCTGTACTGGCTATCTCAAAAGAATCCCCAGATTGCAGGCCCATCTCCTTGCGGCAGTCTGCGATGGCCGCTTGCATATCCTTGTTCTCAATTCGGTATCCCAGCACCTCTTTCAATTCTGACGGCTCAAGATTCGCCAGCGTCCAGCACTCTTTGAGAACCTGGCGCATCTTGAGGCGCGGCTCCGTTGTGTCAAGCCCGTTCATGGCCGACTGGACAGTGAGGCGTTTGGATTTTGTGTTTATTCCGACGATGTCAACAGGCGCCTGATTGCCCTCCTCATCTTTTGCCTGGTACCCGTCTGCATAGACAGCGAAAACCCATTGACCAGTGTCCTCATTCTCTTGGGAGATCACAGAGTAAGCTTGGTTGCCCTGCAATGATGTTATTTATTTCAATCCAAACCAAGCTTCCAATGGAATCACTTACGGCGAAAGGACGTGTTGCTTGACAGGATATCTGAGGTAGGGGTTAGCGGATTCAGAGGAAAGTCAAGGCCATCCCTCAATAGGTTGAGTTTGACTCAGGTCGTCGTAACTCACTATGCCAATCAATGGGCAAAGTGCCATGAAAAAGATTGGGAAGTACCGTGAGAGCATTTTGTAAAAGCGATTGTGTGATTGAAAATAAGGCAAGAGTGACAGCTGCACGAGGGCTAGCTAGGTAAAGACAGTGCATTGGCAAAAAGACTGAAAGCGTTGTCGGAAATGAAGGAATGGCTGACGGCACATAATATATCAGCCATTATCACGATCGAAGAGTCATGGGACGGAAGGACCGAAAATCTTTCTGATACTGAATCCATAATAGAAACGCAGATCGAAATCTCGAAAAGCAGACTTCAATCGACGCAAAACAAAAGAGTTAAATGAATCATGCGCATGCTGTTCAAGTGGGGAACTCACCCTCTACGAATATGCTGATCTTAGTTGCCGTGCTTAGACAACAGGAAAAGTCACTCTCGGGCTAATAACACTACTACTTGGAATTTACTCAATCAACCAAACGGAAAGACCGTAGTCTTTTTCAATTGGAGAACTCTAAGTTGCCAAAGCTATAATAAGGTTTAAGCAGCAAAAGCCCAGCACTACTGGAAATGGAATTGTAGATGTCGAAAAGAAATAAAAAACAGTACTGCGTGCTGACTCGCAACCCCCAACCCCATATTATAAAGTGTTATGAAAATCAGTAGATGATGGGGTTAGAAGCAGCGGAATCTATTATAGTGGTCTAATATTAGAAAAAAGCAATAAGCCCCATAGCAATCGGACTTCCCCGTTAAGTGCCCTTGTTCGATAGAAGATACGTAAAATTCTTGACCTAAATCGAACATTCATCTTTATCAAGCTTCCTCCCATCAGTCGATAACTTTCTTGTTTCTCCTTTAGTTGTGTTCTCTCGTTTATACACACTGACCATGTTGCGCCACTCGTTATTGTCACTCTTTTCCCTTGGCTTGACCGTCCTCGTATCGGGCCGTACTCTTTCTCCACGTGACGGAGATGTTGCGGTTGACAACAAATGGAAGGACCACAGTGCCATTATACCCTTACAACAACAGTCTGCGGGTGGATTGCGCGGAGAGCTTGAACTTCGCTTCAAGCCTAGCCTGAATGACAAGAGCGGGTGTTTCCCGTATGCCGCTGTCGACAAGGACGGCTACCATGGGTATGCACACAGAGAACTCATACAATAACTTGATCTATAGCTGACATCAATGGTCTATTAGAGCTGGACTAAAACCTAGTGGAAAAAGCGGTGGGGACTGTCGGGATTCCAGCAATGGCCAAATCTATTCTAGAGTAGGGTTTTCCGATAATAGCACGGGGGTAATGTACTCGTGGTACTTGCCCAAGATCCAGACCAACACCGAAAACCATAAGCACTGGTACTTGACTGTGGTGGTCTGGCTTTACACGAAACAGTGCAACCCCACTGCCAGCGACTACACCGTCGCCGGTGTCAGCTATTCCACTGGCACAGAAGCTTGGGATAAGGCATCGAGCTCATCCACAATCTACAGTTCCGGAGACAGCGGCACGGGATCTGTAAACACACATGCTCTCGTGGCTTACGACGGGCAAGTTAACGTGTATCCCTCGGCAGACAGCGCCGAGGATGCCCTCACTCCTCCGATGATCAGCTGGGACGCACTACCGCAAGCAGCCGCAGATCAGTTCAATGGCGTTACCTATGAATACGCACGGTGCCCGTTCACAGAAGCCAACTTCCAAAATTCCCTGGACGCCGCTTACAATGGCGACTTCTACATCAATATAGGAGACGGTTCGGACTCCGCTGCTTGTAGCGAAGATCCTTCGACCACGGAGCCTTCGACCACGGAGCCTTCGACCACGGATCCACCGACTTCGACTTCGACGAGCGACGCGGATGTAGAACCTGTGGAGAATGGCTCGGACCTTGTTCCTTCCAGTATACCAACCGACCCGACCTGGACGCCAACTCCGGGGACTTCCCAAACCACTTAATAAGTCCAGAACAAATCCAAGTAGAAGCTAGCTTTTGACTTGTTCAATCAAATCAAATAGTTTTTGGAATCAAACAAGAAGAGAAAGCTGACCGGAAGATGGTATTATGAGTGGTGCCAGTATCTGATAAGTCTAGGTAATCAGCCTATGGATGTCGAAGTGGGCAATGCAACAGCCTAACCCAGACGAAAGTGGGACAGTCTGGGTAAATTTCGGATGCCTGGGACGGATATCGCAAGCCAACAGCTTCTGCACCACTGCCTTCAAGACGCCCCTTGCTGTAACATGTCCTTGGACTTCTGGACTCTTATATGCCTGGGACTGCAGATAGCAGTGATGTTCCTTATACCACACGACTAGATCAATTGAGGTCGTTGCTTCTGAAAACATCCTGCGGTGGTTTTCGTGGAAAGAGACTAAAGTGCTAGCTGTTGCTAGGGTCATTTGTGTTTTCAATGCTCAGATCAAGCGCTGCAGAGGGACTGCTGCTGTTGCATCGATATTTGCAGCAGACGCTTGCTCCATCTAGACAGCGCTTATCAGATCCTTCCTTGACAGACGAGTCCAACTAGGCCTATAATGCCCTATATCCTCTGGTGATTTCAGCTCGCTCAGCAACTTCTATTTTATAATCTCTCCGCCAGGGCCAGGCAACGTAGTCGTCCCAGACGTCTTCTTCAATTGCTGATAGCAGCGTTGTTGGCTCTAGATTCCCATTCCCTGCCGCTGCTACTGTTGCTCTTGTCCTTCTTCATGCTGCCCGTGTGTTATACTCTGCTTTTTATTCTTGTTTGAATTTGCGTTGCAGCTTGCAATAACCTCGTCAGGTGTAATCGAATTTGCCACTTTCTTCGTCACGGCTGTTGCGTCTAGACCGTCTAGGTCAACATAGTCCCATACGTCGTACTACAGAGCATGGAATCGCAATTGCAAAGGCCACTTCGGTCACCACTTTTGCTCCCTTAGTTCATCATGCAACTACCTGGTTTCGCAAGACTATTCGTGTCTCCAGCTGATATACAATGGGTTATCACAATGAATGTTCTTTTCGGATTGTTAGTTCGATGCGAGTAACTGGATCAAGTATTGCTTCTCATCCAGCCTAATTGCTATCTCCGCCACTAAAAAAAAGTCACCATACCATCCTGCCGCTTTCAGTCTTCTCGGATACTTCCTCAAAAGACCTCTACGGCAGGTCTTCCAACACCAATCTTTAGCTTCTCATGGGCCCAAAGACGCAATGTAATTAAAAGACAGAAAAATGCGCGTAATGAAAGCTGATAGAACGTAGTAACAGGTACATAGTCTCTGAAAAATCCGATTCATCACCCTCACTTCCGCATTGCTAAAATAAAATAAAAAAGGGTCTCAAGCAGCACCTAAGCAGCTCTGCTTCAGTTGCTCCGAGAACGACTCTGTTTTGGATTAGCAACTGACATATCAAACTTTCGAATGAGGTCTAAACATACCACTTAGTTTGAACGTAGATGTCAGAAGATCCGCTGCTCTGGTAACCCTCAGTGGCCACAATCTGGTAGTAGTGCGAGCCAAGGTTCAATCCATAGCTAGCCCAGGCGTTAAAGTGAGCCTGCATGTTGATAGAGCCTCCGACGCGCTTAGAGGTGCGCACAGACCAGTACTGCTGGAAGGTTCTTGTGCCGTCGATAGAGGGTTGGTTGACGCGAGTAGAGACGTAGATGTTGTAGGTTCCGCCGTCAGTTGTGACGGTGCCCTTGTACTGACCTCCACTGCCGGGATTGTATGTGCCATAAGAGTCGACTACGTAGTACTCAACCAGCGGGTTGCGAGTCCAGCCATAAACGGCCAGATAACCGTTGCCGCTGGGGCTGAAAGCGCCACCGTAGTTGATGGTTCTATCACAAGAGATTAGCCATTGTTACAGCAGCAACTTTTCACTCGAGAGATGTCTTACCGGCCAGTGCCAGGGTTCCAACCCTTACCACCCACAAAGTTGCCGGTGTTGGTCCAGCTCACCTGGTATCGGCTACCCTCACCCATGGTGTATGTAACACGGCCGCCTCCATCAGACCACCAGGAGTAGAAGTAACCGTTGTGGTAGCCCTCCGAGTTAGGCGTGACCTGGCGCCTCTCAAGGATCTCAGTCGAGTTGCCGTCGTCTCGCTCATCGAGGAAGTCGAAGGGGCGACCAAGCACGGCAGTGACTGCTGCTGTCGCAAGGAGGAGGAATTTAAACGAAACCATAGTGACGAGCAGGGATTCAGTTGGCGGTCCAGTATATACAAGATCTTGGTTGATGCGGTGGTGGTTGAGATCTTCCCGTACAATTGAGTGCTTTATATATGTAACGTTTCGCTGTTATTGCAACTAGAGTAATAGACCAACTCCACGCCCATCTTGACCTTACGAGAGTCTCGGAAATTGTCTATGCTTTCGGAGGGTGGATTTAGGCTGTATCCTAGCTATTTTACAGGCTAATATCGCCATGAGAAAGGGACATGACGACTTACGTACACTCATATCTTGGCAGCAACGTAGGGGCACATCGGCTCTCGGCTAAACTCCCAGCACGCCGTTGATCGTCGGTTAGTTATGGCTCAGACGCTCTGGCTCTATTAATCAGGGATCGGACAAGTTCCTGCCGTCAGTCTAAGAAATAACCATAAGAGCATTAGCCTCCGGGATCCCGTGGCACGTGGATAACAGAAAATCATTGCCAAGGATTAGTTCCCACTATATCCCATACATGCTAGCCTAATAGCCGAGAGCCTTCAAGCAATCCGATAGGGTACGGACTGTTCGTAAGGTATTCTTCTTTTACTACCGGCATACTCTCGATGACATAATACCGGATCCCAAGCCAGATCTAGTCGGATGCTCCGTAAACAGGATAAAGTCATTAGCACCTTGCATGTTGTTAATGATACCCCCCTACAGGCCTTGCTTTCTGGTATCCATGGGCATCACCTAGACGGCTGGCCAATCTTCACAACCGGAATATTAAGCTTGCTTTGGAGATCAAGTGAAGGTTGATCCTATAATTCAGTGCTAATAGGATCCAATCCGCTATGCAAACAATTAAATCTGCCAATCCTCAGAGTCCTAATTTGTGACAGCGCCCTATTTTTCCAAGGTGGCAATCATCTTATCTGCCATAGCGGGTAGTGTTTCTGCCACTACATCCATTTCTCCGAAGATCTCAGGTAGCGCCTCTCCTTCCATGGCAGTGCAGTATGCCGCATTGAATCTGCAAAAGGTTAGCCACTCGGAGCACGGCAAGACGCCTTCGAGAAGTGCCTACCCAACGGTCTTTGCTGTTGACGCATCCCACAGATGCGCTGCCGCAAACCAGGGCTTACCACCGCCGGCGGAGAGCTTTTCCAAGATAGGGGTGTAAGCTTCTGGGGTCGGTTTGGCCAACCCGGAAGTGTCGCACGAGAGCAGGTTTTCAGCGGGCATATCGACCCCGCCACGAGAAAAGTAGCCTCCCACACGAGCAATGTCGCCGGCCGTGAAGCACCATACGGTGAAACCAGCATTTCGAAGCTTAGTAATGCACTCAGCGGCTCCTTCTCTCAACTGAAGCTTTTTCCACTCATCAATCAGGTAAGTCACGTCTTCGTCGCTTGCGAATGAGCGGGGGTTCTCAATGCCAGCGTAGTGGAGGCATCGATAGAACAAAGCTGTAAAGACCTTGTAGAACACCACGTAACGCCCAGACATGGAAAGATAGGTGTACTCGCGCTCGGCTACCTCCAGCCAACACCATCCGAGAAGTCTGGGGAGGATACCTCGGGCCCGGAGCTTCTCACCAAGTCGTTCGTCAATGGCCTCAAAGAGGTGTTCGTATGAGACGAGCGTGCCGACAACGTCGAAAACAACATTCTTGGGAGTAGTCATGGTGAAAAGATTAGACAAGATGCCACGAAACGATGTGAAGAGGTAATAATGAACAAATGGTTACACGACGCAAGGGTGCTTCAGGGCGTCTTCTAGTGTGTACTGTTGGTGTTACCAAGATGATGCAGATTAAATATGAGGCTTGCCGCCAGCACTGCATGGTTGCGCCCTTTTGCGGCACTTCTCGCACCCCCGCACTTGGGATCAAAGTGCCGGGGTCTACCACGTCGGTTTCCGGCGCTGTTCCCGGTTCGCTGCTGTCGGGGGGGAACCTTAGGCTGGTTGACTCACGGCAACCTTATCAGCGGTATCAATCTATCTACTGTGCTACTTGGATTTGACTGATGACATTGCAATGGATCTCGATCAAGGCACCGGCCCGGTGCTCTAACATGCATGCTGCCATTTCGCTGGCTGAGACAGGAGATCCAATGACACCTCCAGGGGTGTGTACGTCGCATTACCCTCTCAAGCTACTTGGTTACTAAGCTTGCCTAAATGACCTTCCCCATGGGCTTAATCAATCGTGACCCACATTATCCCGAAGGTTGGGGTCTGGCTGAGATAAGACATTCTCCGATTGATTACCTCAGAAGGGGGTGAACCAAGACAAGGACGCTACTCATCAAGCTGGCAAGCAATTGGCCCAGCGCTTTGTAACCCAGTGTGCATTTCGATTTTCAGTAAGAAAAAAACAGGATTCAATGGAATAATGACATAAAGAAACACAGAGATCGTGAACCGAAACTCGAAACTAAATCGTCAGATGTGATGCTTGTAACGCAGATATCTGCTGAAAGGACGGTCCAGTGCAGTGCCAAATTCTCGAAATATCTCTGTGTCTTGCTCTAAGCATCCCTAAATTACCGACATTGATACCGATCTGTATCGAGAGCTGGCCTGGAATCAACTCTGGCTCTCTTATTGGCGACCCCCGTTCGCGATGATTGGCATTCCATAGGCGCATCTTTCATAGAGCCCATCGCTCCTTTCCAGATACTTGGCTTTCGTGCCGGGGCCGGGCCGTTCGCATTAGCTGCCGGCTACCGGTGCTCGCTCCAGCGTGGTTTCAGTGCCCGGGCTTATCAGGTCAATGTTGATTGAAGACTCAAGTGGTGGGTGGAGACTCGGGCTTCGGGCAGGAGCTTATCAAATGATATGTTACAGATTTGATGGAAAGATAAGGCAAGGAATCGACAGAGGGCAACTTTGGCGCCCCTCGGTCTTTTGCACAGGGCAGCATTTCATTATGGCCAAGTGTTATTTCCGGCACTCCTCAGATCACGGCTATGGAGACATGAGCAGCTCGAAATAACATTCATTCCATTTCGAGTTCGTTTAGGTCTTCGTCATATGACGATTTAATGACCGCAGAGAAGATATAGTGCTTATTAGTCCTGCACTTGTTGCATGTGCCCTTGAGGGTCTATTCTTGGAGATCGAAGCCTATGTAGGATGCCCCAGATGCTAATATTTACACGAAGAATGATTACACAGAAATCCTCTGAAACGGTTGAAGCAATGTCAAAAATGTTGAATAGAATAGCTGTGGCACTCTGAAAAGGGGACGGCCTGCATCATCCAAGGAAGTCTAGTGACCGGTGCAGCTGATTACACACAAATGAATCAAAACAGGTGGATTATGGTTAAAGTTTTCCTCTACTAATGCGGTCGGGAACTTAACGAGATCTATTGATGTTCACTATCAAGAAAGACATGTCTGGCATGGTCAGCTACAGTACATTTAATTCTGCTTTGCTAGCAGTCTAACATTGCGTCAGTACTGCTATTCAATTCTGATTTGACTCATCATACCTTACAACCACACTTCCTACCCCACCTGGTATTTGCTAGCCATAATTGCGGTTCCACGGTTGTGGCCGCATCGTTAGCAGAAGTTGGTTTTGTTGGTTAACCATTTCGATATGCACATCATAGTGGTGTGGATGGGTGTCTTCATAATCATCGGCTGTTGTCCCTCCTTGTCTAGTTTAATGCTTTCAGCGGCAGCACTAATGCGGACTACGTACAGTCATCGGCGCTAGAACTACATCTAGAGTGGCGCTTCCGCAGCTTACCCGGACAACACAACATGCAATGTAACACCTTTGACTACTAATGTGATGCTTAGATCGTATTAGCTATATAATAGACAATTTTTTATTTATCATTAATTACATCTCGAGGACAGTGGCTTTTTTGTGTCAAGATAAATGCGCAACTGCCTGGTTCAAAGCTATGCGACTTCTTTTGGTAGGTTGTCGCCTCTGTGAGAATCACCGCCACACAGTTACAGCTTTGCTGCTGGCCCTTCATTGGCCGCCTTCCAGCTCTCGAGTATCGAATTTGTGGAGCTGTCCAGTCTTCGTTGCGTAGCCTCATAGACTCTCGGGATGCCTGTGTCCTTGAAGCTCAACTGTGCCACCATCATCGATGCCACTCCCTTCGCGGTCAGGAAAATCTGCGGCATGCCATGTCCGGTGAAACCAGCAATGATGAATTGGTTCTGTCTTCCAGGCACGACACCAACATGTGGTAGCCCGTCAGATGAGTATCCCATAACTAGTTCATAATCAGTCTCTGCTTTCGGACTAAATTCGATTGGGCGAGTTGACTCACTTCCGGTCCACACCTTGGACGTGTGCGCGCCGCTGTCTTCCCATCCATGGAACACACGCTGCATGTATCCATCAAAGTGCGTTTTCGCAGCCTCGATCAACTGATCGTCATTGACATTGTTGTACCAGGACGGCAAATCGTGGTAGTAAGTTGCTCTCGCCCCGCCAACAACAATACTTCCATCCAGCTTCGGAATCAAATACTCATACTCGTTGTCTGACCACCGAATAATGTATGAAGTGGGCAGTAGAGGAGCAGGGGTTTTGCCGGGCGTGATGTGACTGCAGATTCCACGGACAGGTACAATCTTGTCGACAAACTCGGGCAGCAGGGATGACGTGTAGGCGTTTGTTGCGTATACTATCTTGGTAGCGCGGACCTTGCCTCGAGGGGTGGTTATTGTCAGATAGCCTTCCCCATCAGGGGTTTCGGTCACCGCATTGACAGGCGTGTGGGTCTGCAAGTTGACACCGGCGTCAATGGCTTTGGATAAGAGATGGAGGACGAGCTTGTACGGGAACAAGTGACCCGCAGTATAAGAAAGACAGCCTTTAGCTCCCTTCACTCCTGATAGCTGCATCCTGTTAGTGATATGGCGCGCTAAGCTAGTTTCGTACTTGAACGGTATTTCACTTACTTGTTCAGCTTCAGCGCCATCTGCATAGTACACATCTTTCATTACAGAGACACCATTCTTTCTGAGCGTTTCGACTCCAGATTTCATGCGGTGACAGATAGCGTCAGTCATTAAAGCATCGACAGCACGGGTGAGGACGAAGTCGCAGTCAATTCTTTCAGCCTCAATAACCTTCTTTACCTCGGAGAGGTTGTTGGCCTCAAACTCCGCACATTCAGTCGCTGCCTCAATGCCGTGCGTGGCAAGGAGACTGGAGGGACGGTTGTACGGGTCAGGCTTGAGATGGCCCCCTGTATCATACTAGTCAGAAACGGCTGTGTTGGGGTGTCTTGGATGGCCGTTAGGCGTACCGTTGCGTCCAGTAGCCCCAGAGCATGCTTGCCGAGCTTCAAGAATCACAATCCTCGGAGGTGAAACTCCACGGGCTTTGCAAAGCTCGAGTATGTGATATACCGTCACAACCCCCGCATAACCAGCGCCAATGACTGCAATATCGACCTGGCTTGGAAGCTCGGGGGTAGACCGATGATCGTCTAGAGGGTGCGGGGTTGCCCTCCAGAAGGAGGTCGTGGAGTTCGGAACGGGGAGTGGGGAAGGCGGCATGGCTGCGTAGAAAGGGTCGTTTCTGAGCTCAAAAAACGGGCCTGAATGACTGCTATCGCGTAGGTTTGTTAGAAAGCGCCGCCGCGCCCGCCGTTAATAAGAGGTCAAGGAGGTTTTCATCTAAGATGCCTCGCCGCGATCGGCTCTGCTTACGTAAGTGCGGAGGTGGGAAGCCATCTCTGTCCCGCGAGTTGGCAGGAAGATAGAAGGAACAGGGGACAGAAACGTCTTCAAGAGACTGACCGGCCCGGTCAATTGCGTCGGGCGGATACTGGAGTCAGTGAATCCGCATTCTTGAAAGATCCGGCCTCCGTCCGCCCATCCAAGCAACTGAGAACTGCCCAGGGCGCCAGAAACAGCAATCCTGTCCAGAACAGGCACCCGGCCCGGTCATAGTCATTTAGGAGCCAGTGAATTGCTAGAAAGTCTACTCCAATATCTATCATGCTTCCTCAATACGGACTTGATGCTGCTTATCTACCTATCTGCAGCTTGGGGTGGTTGATAGATAAACCGGGGAACCCTGGCTCCTGACAACCAAGATAAGACCCTGGTCCGGTAAACTGCGTAAGCTTTCAACGATAAGCGGCATCAGCCAGCCAACGTTGTGTCCTGCGGCTGGGAACTGAGGGGTGGTCGTCGCTGGTGCTGGCTGATGAAAGAATAGTTGGCAACTTGAACAAAATGGAATGGACCAATGAGAGCCTTCTTACTGGTATGAACACAATTATATACAGGTCAATGCCGGTTGGTCTCCAGATCCACGAACCTTCATCACAATTCTTGATCCGCATCGGTTGCTTCTTTCTGTACTATGGCAACTTCACAGTCAAAAGACGACAACAAAGTGCCCGACACGACGGACGTTGCCGCTGGCACCAGTCATGTATACGATGGAGGCTTCACAGCGGAGGTTGACGATGCCTATCTCCGCGCCTCGAAGTTTACAAAATTCTATAGAGGCGTTCTATTCCAAATGATCCTTTTTGGGGCGTAAGTCCAAGGCTTTATGGCTTCCTAAGCGAACATGAAAGTAACGAGCGTCATTGTGTAGCCTCTCCTTCATGGGTCCAGCCATGTCCGACGCCATTTCTAACCTTGGAGGTGGTGGCCTCTCGACTCCGTACTTGGCGAATTTGGCGACCGCGCTGAGCTACATGGCCGGGTGTTTGATTACCCTCTTTGGTGGTCCTTTGATCAACAAGTTTGGCATCAAGTGGTCAAGCATGATTGCCGCAGTGACGATGCCGCTTGCTGGCTCAGCTTACTATGTGAGCGCAAAGTATGATGTGGATTGGTATCTTCTCTTTGCAAAGGTAACTCTGCCGACGCCCATTCTAATGTTATTTGTAATGCTAATAATTCTACGTAGCTGGTTGGGGGCTTCACCAACGGGTTTCTGTACGTTGCTGAGACTACCGCCATGTTGTCCTATCCGGACCCAAATGACAGGGGCTTTTACTTGGGTAAGCATTCTGAAAAAAGTGAAAGTTACTTTCAATAACGTGGTCGAGCAGGTATATGGTCTGCCATGCGAAACTCAGGCAGTGTCATGGGAGGCGCGATCAACTTTTCGACCAACTACTCCAAGGCATCCGCAGGAGGCATTGCGTGGTCTACCTATCTTGTTTTTGTTGCATTTGGTGGGTGTTGCTGCAATGTTCTTAATGGAAACCTCTAACCGTGGATTTGACAGAATGCACCGGACCGATTTGGGCTGCCCTTCTGTCTCCCACCCGACGCGTACGACGTAGTAATGGTATAAAAGTCCCCATGAACAGCAATATAAGTTGGAAGAGGGAGCTTGTTGCCTTGTGGAAGCACCTACAGCGCAAGAAGGTGAGCATTCTGCCATTGAGTTTTCAAACTGCTTCGAGCGTAGCTGACAAGCATAACCAGACGTGGCTCATTTCTATCCCCGCCTTCTACTCGTTTTTCTACGGCGGAACGATGGGGACTTATCTTTCTCTACACTTTTCGGTTCGGGCACGCGCATTGTCCTCTTTGATCACACGTAAGTGCACTCGTGCGCACTAGATGACCGAAACTGAATCTAACATACCTTGTTAGCGAGCCTTACTATCGTTATGGTCATCGTCTACGGGAAAATCTTGGACATGCGCCGGTGGTCGCAGGCCAAGCGCGCATGGATCTCGTTTATCTTTTGGGTCATTCCCCAGGCGGCCTGTTTCATCTGGATCGGCATCGAGTACGGCAAGTTCGGCGGGGGCAAGTTGGAAGTTGCCCTTGACTATGAAACGTATGTCGTTCTGTGCTCTATACTTGGAAAGCAAGCTAACGACTGCAACTTCATAGACACACCGCGAGATGGGCCGAAGCCTACCTTCCTTACCTGATCATGTTCTCGACAGGATACTGGACTCAGCTGTCATTGTACTGGATTCTGGGTACCTTCTCCACGGATGTGGGGTCCTCCTCTCGCTCAGGTGGCTTGTTCCGAGCCTTTGAAACCGCTGGCCAAGCTGTCTCATATGCTCTCAACTCCACGAGCGGTGCCGACCCTAGGATTCCATTCTATATCAACGCCGCTGTTCTGGCCATTACGATCCCATGCATGGTATTCCTGATCCGGATGGTTCCAGAGGCGCCTGCTACCACAGACATCGATGCAGGAGAAGTGGACGTAATCGAAGGTGCCGCGGATCCGGATAGGAAATAGACTACGTCAGGTTTAACTTTTGCGGAATATTGGGGTTGTAGCAGCCAGACGACCAATAATGTGTGTTTAGTCTCGTCATCAAGAACCGAAAATGCTCTGGTGCTTGTTATGTCCAATCATTCAGAAGGTGAACTTGATTGCTCCATGTCAACTGTGCAGGGACAGTTTTCTCCGCGCAGCCCTTTATTGATTTTTCTTGCACACGTATATTCATCCGGCTTGCAATATAAAGCCAATTCTTCAGAACTTGTGTGACTGCTGGTTGTTGACGGCTGTCCTCTCTTGTGTGCCTCATTCCAAGATTCACTCGTGTATGCGAGTAACATATCGCGCGCACAAAAGCACTGCGGTCCCATTCACGATGGTTGTCTGTTGCGTCCTAATCAAGGGGATGAGCGCTTGACATTACGTCAGCAATGTCGTTGTATTTGACGTAAAAGGTTGCCAAGCTTGGAGAGCTTGTGCACCAAAAAGGAAATATCCTAGTCAGGGCACCCCCATCATGAAGGCTGCTACAAGTCGATGTGGATCTTGACACATTATCCCACCGGGTCTCCCTCGTGCGCATGCATTCACCCCTGTCGCTATAAAGACTGCACAGGGTACGGTGCTGGAGTATCGATTATCTTTTCTCAAACCGCGTTTTGGTGCCGCTGGTACCTGTGCGACTTTACGAGGGAGTCCCCTAGATGAGTATCTCTGCAGGTTTATATAGAGTACATAGAAGAGTGCATCCCCTTTACCCCCCGCTCAGGCATATTGGTAAGGGTGTGCCTTGAACACCTGCAAATCTTGTGCGCCGTCATGTCCTCTTGGGTTCGTTGCGGATTTTCGGAACTCACTACCTAAAAGTGTTTACATCCAGCACCCGGCACCTCTTTACTTCTCTTCCCTTAACACGGATACGACTACTTGTATCCCAGCAACTGTCGTTGATGGATTGGGATTTATCATAGGACCGGAAGCACTGGGGCGAGCCAGTACTACTGATGGGCCAGGGCTACCGGGGTGGCGTTCCAAATTCGTTTCCACCCGTTGTTGCTTCGAGTCTATCAGGATAGGTACCAAGCATTCAGTTATGCTCTTAAGCGCACTGCAGGAGAATGGTCTCGAATTCGACTGCTGCATCGTGGCAAGTACCCATCACGGTGAGGGATGCAGGCAGTAATGCGAATAGAACTCGAGAGCTAGACCAGAAAACCCTATGGCAAGGGGATACCCCAAAGAACCAGTTCAAAATAGGTCTATATACAGAGAGACCTCCAAGAGCCCCGAAAATATAGAAACGAAGAAGATAAAAACCGACTTACACCCCGACAGTTCCCTGACGGATGGGTCAGCCAAACGGTGTTTCTCATCGCTCAACCGAAGTAGATGGCCCACAAGGCGAACGGCGCAGCAGCGGAATCGTTTACAGACACTGCGAGTACCACTCGTTTGTCTTGACGCAAGTCAGCCCAGCGGCGCAGACCGTCGTACCAGCGTATCCACCACCGCCGCACTGGCCCCACCGCGCGACCGTGACGCCCGACTCGGCATCCGAGTCTCCCGCAGCGGGTGCGCTGGGCTCTGCCGCGGCAGGGGCGGTGGTCTCGGGATCGGCGACGATGGGTGCGGAGGTCTGAACGGGCGCCGGAGTGGGGCTCGCGACGGCCTCTTCCTTGACAGTCGGTGCGGCGGAGGCGGAGGCGGATGCCGATGCAGTGGCACCGGAGTTGGACGAGGACGACTTCGTCCAGCCGCGGTTCTTGGAGAGCTCGTACCACCAGTTGCGGTACATCCAGCCGTCAAAGTCGGTGATTTCCATTGAGGAGCCGGCGAGCATGATGAACTTGGATTGGCCGGTCGGGGTCCAGTCTGCAATTGTCAGTCATAGTCCGGTCAAAGTGCGCGCAAAGAAATCGCCGCTCATGAGTGTGCCATACCGTAGACTGTGTTCGAGTTAGCATTCCATCTTCAGCAAGACACACTCGTGTTTGGGGAAACTCACAGTCATCCAGACCAAACGTGTGACCCTTTACGAAGAACCAACCGTCAGCACACACCGCTCCACCAGCTCATCCCCCCTCGACCAGACTCACCATCTCGTGTAGCAGAATGTGCACGCTCCCGGAATCAATGTTGTTCAGCAGATATTCCCGGCCGACCTGCTGCCCCCAGTCGTACCCGAAGCCACCCTCGAGCCCGTCCGTCAGCCAGAGCGAGTGGTCAAAGTGGCTGCCCTCGCCGCCCTTGCACGCGCTGAAATCTCCGTTCAGGTGCGCGGCGCGATCGCAGGCCGGCGCGCAGGTTGGGACGCCCTCGCCGTCCTTGTAGGACGTGTAGACGTCGACGTCGTCGGTGGAGCCCTGCAGCAGGGCCTCGTCGCGGACGGCCCAGCCGACGATGTTGACGTCGACGTTGGCATAGGGGAAGCCGTCGAAGCCGTAGACCCACTTGAACCACTTTTGGTACTGCGCGGCGTAGACGCTGGCGATCTTGGTGCGCTGCGCGGCGGTCACGGAGGCGGTCGAGTCCCAGCGGACGCAGATGTTGAGGGATCTTTGGGTGGGATTATAACCGTGTCAGTTCTTCTGGAAGTACGGGGGGCCTCTCTCCCGGGAAGGGGTGCACGACTCACCCGTTATTCGCGACCACCTGGTCCCATCCCCAGTTCTTGTTGTTGAACACGGACCCGTCGTACGTCTTCTCGTAGTGCTCCCAGACCTCGGTCAGCGCGCCTGACAGCTCCGAGGGCGGGTTCCACCCGGACTGGCGCTTGGTCGGGCGGTTGCGCTGCTGGGGACCGGCGAACGCGGCGCGAGATTGAGGCTGGCTGGTGCCTTCGAGAGCCTTCCAGACGGAGCCGTCGAGGTCAGACTTGGTCGATGTCGAGGTCAGTGCGAAGGTCGAGGTGGCCGCAAGAGCCAGGAGGGCAGCGGTCGAGGTAAGAGACGGCATGTTGGTGTTGGTGTTGAACTGGTCGGTTCAAGATGGTTGAGTGACTGGAAAGAGTCTTGAGTCGAGTCTATGTCGAACTCAGAAAATATGTTTGTAGCGAATGACAATGATAAACGAGTGAAGCGTCAAACTGACAAGGAATGTAATGCTGTCAACGAAGCGGCAATCAGAACATGAACCAGCCAAATTCCTCGAGACCGCACTTTTGGACAAACGAATGAAGAAAGTGAAGATAGGAGGGAACTAGACAAGACCAAAAGCCAGAGAAAAAAGCATTACTAGAACGAGCTATCCATCACGGCATATAAGTAGCTCGATCCTCTTCACTCAGGCGGAAAAAGGGGCTAGACCAACGCCAGAAACCCATCATCCAATTCCCCGTTCTACGTCCTCATCTTGCCTCATCCCTACAACGTAAACCGCGTATTGCGATTTTCCTAGATCCAAACCCCCGGGAAGCGACGAGCCCACATCGTCGAAGCCCTACGGCGAGGAGTGCTTCTTTCGACGAACCTCGGAGCCCTGGCCCGGCAAGACACGCGGCCCTAATTGGTCCAGAACAACGAAGAAGAAGCATAACCACGTTGATGCGGGCCCCGAACCAAGATTAAGGACCGTTCCGCGCGGTTGCGGCTAGCGGATCTCCCTTGCTGAGGTCGTTAGCAGGGTACGGTCGAACCGTGACAAACTCTGGCCGGGGAGCGGTCGTCGTTCGTCGGGGATATATTCGCGCCAAGGCGCTAGCCGGGCAGACTTTCTCCTCGGGTCCTCTGCAGCTGAGATGGGAAAGTCTCGCCTTCGCGGTGACGGAGGACAAAGACTCCTTTGAGTCGAGATCCCGCGCTTGAGCGTTGATGTGCAATAGTTATTGTACTCGATACGCGGCGGTGGAGGTTGATGGGAGACAGGTCATTGATTATTGGTACGATTGCGTGTCGACATGCCCTTTTCATGGGAGTTGAGGACTTGGACCAGACCAGCTCAAGATGAACTACAGAAACAAGGCCAGCATTCACGACATTATCCATTTCCATCTCCATGACCAACTATAATGGTTCTTTTTTTTTCTTTTTCATATCAACGCCCCATGCATCGTTGGGCCAGGAACGCCCAATCAGAGACGGACATTTGCCCTCGAGTCTCCGCAAAAGGGGCGCTGTCCTTAACAGAGATGACCTCCGCGTCAATACGAGCATTGCAGGCCACGACAAGCTTGTATGCGACGATTGGACTCTACAATAGACGCCAGCGGCATCTCGCGCAAGAAGAACTGGGTAACACGGCACTTGGGCACACCAACTTCCAGTGTAACAGACATGGACCTTTCCCAGCATTGGACAGGAAAGAAACAAACCAGAGTAGAGAGTGGATTCCACGCGCAGCGCAATACTTCATCTGTACTTCAACACAAAAACCCAATACCAACCCCGCTGTCCCCACGTCCGCAGTAGAAAATAGACTCAAACCTCCCGCACCTCCCGCAAACTCAACCCAAGTCTCAACCCTGCAAACCCGTGTCTACCAAACCCTCAATCCTTGACCAGCCACACACACACAACGGGCTTCTGCCCAGGCAGCCCCGTCCGCCCGGCGTCCCAGCCAATGTCGGCGACGGCCTTCTTCATCATGTCCTTGTCGTCCCCGGCGAAGCACAGGCCCTTGTACCACTTGCCGTTGCCCGCCTGCACGATCTCGAAGCACTTGTTCTTCTTGGGGTTGGGGTTGGACGCGCCGAAGCCCTTGAGCACCTCGGCCAGCGTCGTGTTGACGGGCACGTGGAACGCCGCGAACGGCACGCGAGCGTTGGCCGGCAGCTGCCACGGCGGCTGCGCCGTGCGGAACACGTGGATCTTGGTGTGCGCCGCCGGGAAGAAGTAGTTGTAGCCCGGCTCGCAGCCCGTGCCGCCCGTCGAGTTGCTCAGCTGCGCCGCCGGGTTGCGCGGGTCCAGCGCCGGGTGGCCCTGCGCCGTGCGCGCGCCGTAGGCCGCCTGGCCGCCCGGCTGGAGGGGGTACGTGCTGTAGCCTCCGGGCTGCTGCGCGTGGGGCCACGTGTAGGCCGTCGAGCCCGGGTAGGGCACCGGCGCTGCTGCGGCGGGGTAAGAGGGGTACGGGTACGGGCCGGGTTGGCAGTAGTAGTAGTTACCGTAGCCTGGTGCTCCTCCGTAGGCGCCGGCCCACCCGGCATGCGGGATGTAGGCGTCGCCATAGCGCGGGATGGGCACGCCATTGGTTGGGCTGAAAAGTGGCCGGCGGGGGTCCATGTCGTGGCCGTTGACGGGGTTGGACATGTTGTTCGGGGTGTGTGAGCGGGCTTGATGCAACGTTGGAGTTGAAAGGTTAGAAGTAAGGGAGGTCCGGCTGCCAGGTGTTTACCCAGTTTCCGAGTCGGTGGTCGTATTCAGTGACCCAGTGGCCGGGGACGGGTCCTGCGAGCGTCGGGTCCCAGAAATGCTGAGCGTTGAGGTGTGATGGGTATGCCGGGGCGTATGCTGGGTTTCTTGCGCTGGTGCTTTGAGCAAGGTTGAGGCTGCGGGCGAATCGGTCGTCCAGTTCTCTGCTAGAAGTTGATTCTGGGAAACGGTCAGCAACCGGGAATAGGGGCTGGTTTTATACGGCTGGAAAGCCGACGCAGTGGCTGACTGGCAGTGAATGACCACGGGTGAATAGGAGTGACTCACCCACGTCCGACTCCGACGATGCGTCTGATCGAGCGCCTCGATCTCGACGCGTGTCGGGCTGAAAGGCAAAGATCTCGGTGCTCCAAACGATATTGTTGTGCGGGTCGTAGAAGGTGCCGACGATGAGATATCCCCAGAATGGAGGGTCTCGCGAGCAGTGCCAATACTGGGCGATGATGAGCTTGGTCGCTGGGTACGGTAAGTGCTCCGGTTCCTCGGAGGAGGAGTTGTGAGAAGCCACGATGACCTCTGTGAGAGTGGTTACGGGGGAGCAGATATTGAGCGGTTGTCCTGGGACTTTGCAGGATGCTGGCCTAGTCGAGCTTGAAGGCTTGTAAACTCTGGAAGCGAATGATGATGCGAGATGGATGGAGAATAAAAAAGGACCAGTCATCGCGGCATAACTTATAATGGTGTTTGGCGGCGTTTGATTCGGTGACTGGAAGAACGTCAGAGTTGAGACCAGAAGTGATGCAACTTCGCTGCCGTTGATACATGAGACGCCTGCTCGTGTGATTGCGGTGATGCTCATCCAATCGACCACGAGGCCCGTCGTCATCAGCGCAACCGAGTTGAGACGAGTAAGAAGCCCACGACGCCTTAGCGGTGAATCAACGCCGTGTTGCCGTCGCAAAAACCGCTGCTGAGCACGAAGCGGGCTGGGGAAATCAACTTGCGAGCTTCTGCTCTTCATGACGAGTTTCATGCATGCACTTCTGGCCGGAGAATAGTTGGTAATTCAGTCTCTTGTTCAACTAAATGTGCCATGTTGCTAGTGTAAGTTGTTCATCTCTCTGACTAGGCCCGTGTCGCACATGTGGCTGGTGGTTGGCAAACGAGTCCGAAGCGTCGACTGAGGGATTGAAGTAAAACACTTTGTTCGCCTCCTCCAAGTGTTCGAGTTCCTTGTCGACTGTAGCTCTGTGCTTTAAGCCACACCTAAAGCTCTGGGCTCTAGCTGAGCTGCAGTCATGTAGTCTGCAAGGACTCGTTCCACTTACGTGCAGCTTCGTTGATTGTCAACTGCATCTGTTGAAGGAGTCTGCTTTGCCAGCTCATTGAGCTTGATGCGATGAACCAGCCTAGAGCTTGACTAACCCCAGCACTCTCTCGAGCCAGTTTCAAGCAAGGTCAGCCACTGCCATCCTCTTCCAGTCAACAACCGCCCGCCAGACCAAACTTGGCATCTTCCCCACCCAGACGGAAGGGTTTCCAGACTGGCAAGTCCACTACGACATCAGGGGAACCGTCTTCTTGAACTTGGCAGAGACGGGGAAGCAAGCTTCAGGATGGTGTTGTGTGACGCAGGCTTTTGCGGATGTTTAACGATGTGTCGCCGGCATTCAGGACTAAGAATCCGTCGGGTTCCGCGAGTCTCTTGTAGTGGCCGGCTGTGTGGGGCCCGTTGGTTATCGGCGCTTATCTTGAGCCTGGAGCTCCCAGCTCCGTCACATCCGTGTTCCGTCCAGCTGTGTGGTGCTCCCCACCGACGGTGCAGAGTTCGCTGTTGTCGCCGCCGCCGATACGCTTTTTTGGCGAAAAGCCCGTAAAACGGGCACGAATGGGATATCATGATGCTCTTTCCGAACCGCCACGCTGCAACCGATAAGGCACAGCGGCGTGGGCGTCTTGGCCGGGCACCGTGGCTCAATCGTCGACGTCAATGTCCTCTTCAACAACCCGCACGCTGCCGGCCTTTGCGGCGGCACCCTTGACCGTGTTCTTGAGCTGCTCGACCTCGTGTCTCACCGTCTTGCGCCTCTCGACCTCGGTGACGAGGCCCTTGAGGTAGACCTCGGCCTGGACGGTGGCGCTGTAGGACATGGCGGTCCAGCTCCAGACGTTGCGGCGGGTTGCGTCGGCGCCGGCGGCGAGAAGGGTGCGGAGGACGAGCAGGTTGCCGTTGCTGCTGGCGAAGTGCAAGGCCGTGTTGCCGTCGAGGTCGGCGCGCTGGACGGCCTCCTGGGCGCCGTGGGGCACGTAGGTCAGCAGGATCTGCAGGACCGTGTCGTGGCCGCCGCGGCTGGCCTCCATGATGGCGTCGCGCCAGCGCACGTCGCGGCGGAGGATGACGTCGGGGTTGCGCTCGCAGAGGAAGTGGACGACTTCGGTGTGGCCTGCGGCGGCGGCGAGCATCAGGGCTGTCTGGTGGTGCTCGTTGAGGGCCGGATCCGGGTCCTCGTGGCCCAGGTCGACGAGGACGTGGCAAATGGCAAGGTGGCCGAGCGAGGCGGCGAGGTGGAGGTTCGAGTTGGAGAGGCCCTCGGGGGAGCTATCGGGGTTGTGGAGGAGGCGCGGGTGGGATTTGAGGATGCGCTTGACGAGGAGGGCATCGTTGGCCGTGATGGCGCGCCGCACACGGAGGGCGGGCTCGATCCTGGAGGGGGGGCCGTCAGCTAGGCTACGTCACTTGCGAAGGGTGCGAGGGTGGTAGATAGGAATGAGAGCGGGCGTGGCTACGTACATGTTTGAGAAGCTCAAGCGAGGGTGTGGTCTGGATCAATCTAGCGAACGTGTTTGCGTCGAGCAATGGCGGATGTCGTCCGCGGCATCGCTGTTGCTGGTGGTGCTGGTGTGCTGCTGCTGCCGCCGAAGCTGCGATGCACAAGTTGAACGAGAGTGGGAGGCGCCGCGAGGTCGAGCTGCTATGACATTCACATTCACATTCAGGAGGTGGTGACGCGAGGGTGGGGGAGGAGGGAAATGAGAGAGGGACGGGAGTTTAGTTTAGGGGAAGCTCGCGGGACTTGGGACGAGATTGCCGCTTGGGTCGGTGACAGCCAGGCGCCGGATTTAGTGCCGCGAGCCTGGAAGGTCCCTGGAAGCGGGCGGAAGTGGGAGGAAGGCGCAGGGGTGCTGTGCTGTGTACGTGCCTGCCATACATAAAAGTAGTACTATATACTATGTGCCATGTGTACGCAGGGGAGGGAAGGAAGTCCCGGGGTCGCATTGGCGGGGGAAGGTGGGGCTTGCGGGCGTCACTGCCCGCCGGCGTTTTTCCCATAGTGCATTCATAGTACGTAGAATACAGTACATGGTACATAGTACATCCCAGTTGTATCTTTTTGGTTTTTTGCCTCTGTATCTCTGTTCTTATTCATTTATTCATTTATCGACCTCTGATGCACATGCGGTTAACGCCCTCCACCGCGTGGCTGTGTCATGGAAGCGTCCGTGGCCTGCAATTGACTTTGTCCAGTCTGATCTTCCGCGCCGCAGGGTTTGGTTGGCATGTTCCATGCTGGCGGTCTGATAACCTGCATACGACTATGGTATGTACCTAGTAGTGTATATCCTGTCGGCCTGTCATCCGTGGTCCCCTGTTCTTCACGTCTGTGTGTTGGCCGGCGCTTATGTTCCTGGCGCTCCCGGGAAGCCCGAAGCATTGAATCCCATAGCTCGCACCGCCGAAACCTGAGGATGCCGTGAGGAATTGACATGCCGACATGGGCTATCCCGGCTGGTTCGGCCATTTGTTTGGGTATGATACCGTCCGTTGCTGTGATTAACAGTCTTGTCTTCAATCTTTTACTAGAATAGCCGAGGCTGCATGCAAAGTACACCAATCAGCGTCCATCACCATCAACCACATCAGGCACCACTCGCAACACGACTGCTCATACAATCCAAACTTTTTCATTCCTCTATGTCTAAGCAACGCCAGTTCTATGCATCATGTGCTCGTCTCGTCGTAAACTTACGCCGCCGCGGCGTACGGCGTGCCAAATGGCTGCACCGTCGTGCCCTCAATGTCAATGTAGCCGTACGCCGAGTTGTCCGCGTTGCTGCCCATCTTCTCCGACCACTTGGCCATCGACTTCTCAAACACCTCCTTGTACTTGTCCTGCGTGAGGTCCAGCGGCTCCTTATCCTGGCCCACGAGGCGCATCCTGTCGATTGTCAGTCCTCTCTCTCTCTCTCGTTAGATGTCAAACACCCGGGGGGCAAACTTACTGCGTGCCGGCCAGCATGTTGGTGAGGCCGAAGTTGTCCTCGCCGAGCAGCGTGTCGATGGCGCTTTTGACCTTGCCATCAATGATCTTCTGCGGCAGGTCAAACTCGTTGGCAATGGGGCGCGCCAGCCCGATGCCGTGCACCGTCTGCAGCGCCTGCACCATGGCGGCCGTCGTGCGCAGGCCGCCCGTGACGTAGGCCTTTGTCTTGTGCAGCTCCGGGATGATCTTCTCGGCAAAGTCGAGGAAGAAGGCCTCGCGCTTGCGCGTCGAGTCGCGCTTGTGCTCGAACGCCAGACTCTGGTACGTGCCGCCCGACAGCTCGACAAAGTCGAACCCGTGCGCCTCGAGCGCCGCGCACAGCTCGCGGCAGTCGTCCGTCGTGAACCCGCCCTCCTGGAACTCGACGCTGTTGACCTTGATGCCCAGGCTGAACGACGGATCCGTCACCCGCGCCCGGATCGCCGACGCGATCTCGAGGATGAGCCGTGCCCGGTTGGCCAGCGACCCGCCGTACTGGTCCGTGCGCTTGTTGGTGCTCGGCGCGAGGAATTGCGCGAGAAGGTAGCCGCTGCGGGAGAAGCGGTATTAGTTCATCGTTCAAACTTCTTGTCCACCGACAGAGGGGAAGGGGAATGGAGGGACTCACTGTGCACCGTGGAGCTCGACTCCGTCAAAGCCCGCGCGGTAGAGGTACTCGGCGGCGTGCGCGAAGCCATTAATGACCTTCTCAAAGTCCTCCTTCTCCATGGCGCGCGGCTTGCCAAATGTCATGCCCATGACATCACCCTCGAGCTGCACGTCGCTCGCCGAGATGGGGTGCGGGTTGATCTGGGAGGCGACCTGGCGGCCCGGGTGGCTCAGCTGCGCGTGCACGAGGCTGCCGTGCTTCTTGGACGCCTCGGCGACCTTGCGGAACCCCTCGAAGCGCTCGCCCTCGAACGGCGCGCCGGGCGGGATGATGGGGTTGCCGGCCGCCTCGAGCTGGTCGTAGTCGATCATGACGTTGCCCGTCAGGATGACGCCGAACCCGCCCTCGCCCCACCGCCGGTATACGTTGACGAGCTCCGGCGTCGGCACCCCGCGCTTCTCGACCTGCTGCGCGTCCCACGTCGACAGCCGCTCCGTCATGGCCGCCTTCATGAACCGGTTCTTGGCCGTCTTGCCCGAGAACTCGAACTTGAGAGGCTCCGCGAGGGGCTTGGGGTCCACGTCCTCGGCGGCGAATCTCCTGGGCGCCATGTTGTAGGTAATGTGCGTGTGTGTGAGGTATCCAAAGTCTAAAAATAATTATGCCTCGAGAAGGGATCGAAACGTAAGTTTGCGTGTATGGTTCTTGGGTGAAGCAAAAAACAGCAATAAGAGTATATTGATTCTCTGCACCAGTCTCTGGAGAGATGCTCCGGAGGAGGGACCGGCGCTTTTGTACGTACGCGTCCATGGACATGCGTGTCCCACTCTCTCGCTCGCCGCTCTCCCAGTCTCGTCATTACTACCATGGATTTGGAAGCTCCGTGGAGCACCAAACCGACGCCCACTGACGTGAAACGGACGTTTGCTTGGTAATGATTTGTTTATCCTCGAGCCGGCACACACACACAGACACACCGCTGCCACGCCACCATGACTGGAGACTAGGGCTCCCCCTCGGGGTTGCTTCGGGTTGCCTGTCGGCTGTCCCTCCTGACATCCAACCATTCTCAGCACGCCGTCTTGCAACTACCGCACCGCCCCGCTCCGCACCGACCGCAGAGCCGGCGTAAGCAGCGCACAGAGACACCTCGGCTTCCCGACCCCCATCCAGGCCACCAGCTCGGTAGACAGTCGCCCATCCCCATCCAATCGGCCAGCACCCCCGGCGCCAAAACCGGGCACCCGCGAGAGCCAAACAGTCGTGTGCGTCATGGTGGGGGACGCGGCCCCGGACTAGCGTAGGGCTCCGCGACTCGTTAGTGGCCAAAGGGCTTTGCTGCGACCGAACCAGAAGCCGAGCGAAGCTTTTCCGCTTCTTCTTCAAACCCCTCCGCCAAGCGCCCCGTCAGATTTCTAATCCAACTTCGATCCGCTGTTCCGCGGCAGGGTCAGGGTCATTAGGGTCCACGGGCTCCCATATCGTAACACTCTCTGGTTGTCTCTGACGGGGTTCCAATGCATCAGGGTACCTCGCTGGCTTCTGCAGCTTCAGCGGCGAGATGGAGACGGTGCGTGCCCGGCCGGCGTTTGTGAGGATAACAGCGATGGCAGACGGCCCCAAATCCCACTTCTGATGGATGGATGCTCCCTCGATCTGGGGCAAAAATGACTGCACCGGCACGTCATGCCGATGCCCGCTCCATGACTCGGCCTCAACGGTCCGGCCCGCTGCCCATACATAGATAGATAGATACCGGTAGCATGGTCATCAGATCAAAAGTTCGTCATTCCCGGGGCAGCCGCCGTCCCATTCCTCTCGGGGGATAACGGCAAAAAGCAAAAGAATTGCGCCGAGGGGGAATCGAACCCCCGGCTCCCCGACGCTGCTAGATGGCAACGGAGAATTTTACCACTAAACCATCGGCGCTGGTGATGGGATCGCTTGCTTCCATGATCCGCTGTTGCTGGTCTTCGTACGGGATGCATCAAGAACCCGTGGGAACCCGAGAATTACCAGAGAGATGTCGTCGCACGCTCTAGCACTTTGCTTGTGCCAACGCACGTTGACTGGAGATCCGCTCATGGCTGGAGACTACAGCCGGACCACTGCTGTAATAAAATGTTGCAATGCCCTCAGTATAGACATCGTGACATTGCCACACATGAATCGGAACCGCGTCGCTCCGGTCTCCTCAGGCCGCATTCACTTTGTGCCTGGCACGTGGCCGTTACAACCCACGAGATATCCCAATCACTGATACTTCTGTCCCAGCCAAAATGTATAGGGAATAGAGGTCTCGAAAATTCCAGAAAATCCGTGAATAGATGGAATGGCTTCGTACGTATTTATTGGCTCTGTCCTGCGGCAGGGGGGTTGACGTGTTTCCGCAGTCGGTGGGATGGCCACATGTCCAACCAACTACAACCAATTCCAGGAGTCTGACTGCGACTGGGCGCAGATTGACCAGATCACCCACCAACCATGTTGTCGTTTCCGTTCTCGCACTGCAGATAGCAAGGATGGGAGGGGGGGAGGGCGGAGGTTGAATTGTGTTCCGGTTTGCCAGCCATTTCACTGCACTTTTAACCCCACCAGAGACGTTCGAAACATTGTGTGTCAGCGAGCTGCATACCATATTTACCGGAAGCCATCATCAAAGAAACCGGTCAATTTCAGCCCCTCACCCAAAGTCAACTACATTTAGCAACTTTAGCACCCCAAGGAACTTAGTGAATCACGTAGTGGAATTATAAGCTCTTCTAATGGCTATACTAGGGTTTGGCAACAGCAGATTTCTTGGAATTTCCAGCCAGCCTTCGTTAATCGTTGGTCATGTCGGCATTCTGCACTTTGGGTTTTGAGGCTCGTCCCCTATTTGTGGGTAGTCCAAAGTGTAGCTCCATGGGTCACGAAAGGTACTGTATAGGTTGATGCGGCTCTGACACCGGAACGTGCTGCTGTTAGTTCCTGGGGGGCGACCCTGGAGATTTTAATTGAATGCAGAAAAGAACCTATTCCAGGAGAGAATATATTGACAGGCAATATGTACCGCATTCCTCCAAAGTAGTATCCACAGGGAAACGGAAAAATCAAAATCGTTCGTATATGGAGATAAGAGCGTGGAGGTGGAGCGGATCCAAAGAAAAGTAGCAAACGATAACAAAATAAAAGCATTTGGGTTAGTGCATCTTGGAAGGATTCAATAACAAAGGGGTTCGAAATTGGTGAAGTCAAATCGATTCCATCATTTGCAATTAATCGACACCGCCCATGACTCAGATACAAAGGAACCGACTGGAATAAGCATAAGGAGCAAAACTGTTGTAGAAGTCTCTCTGATAGCGCGTCAACTACCAGCCACGTTTCTTCTCAGCCTCCTTACAGCTTCTTCCGTGGCCGTTGGCTACTACAGCAGGGGAAGAAAAGACGAACTCGTTGATCCTTACCCTTAACGCGTGGATCTCAATCTTACATGCCATTTCCTTGCCTGAAAACATGTCAAAGAGGAAGTCAGTCGACTCTGTCTGATTGATACAAAAGGGCTAGGCAAGTGTGACGTCCGGGTAAGGTGCGTTAAACTACCATGGGCTCTCATAATTCATTTCTGAATGAGAGCTTAGAACACTGGCAGTGCACAGCGTGGAATCAGCGCAAGCGGCTGCCTAGGTCGCACAAGGGCCGAGGTCTTCTGCCACGTTTGAAAATGGGAGGTCAAACAAACCATGGCCAATCTCCGGACTTCTCGGATATTATTAATTAACACAATCATTACTAAGGCCGACCCTAAAGAAGGTGCTTGTATTCGCAACACCTATTCGCCGGGGGTAGGCTACTGACGATTTTGAGACACTACTAGGGTGAACGCTTGTTCTAGGCTGACTCCAGAGGTTTGTGCATACACGCAGGAAATCGGCTGTAGTTGCTGAAATGCTTCTATACTTGTTTGTTCTTAAACTTAATCTTTTTATGTCTGTTTTGTGGAAGCTATGTTCGACTATGAGATCTTTTCCGAAGTTTGAAGTGAAATGCCCGTAAAATTGTTGCCAAGCCTCAGCCACATAAACCTGCGCTCATAAGTGATGCCTGCAGGTGCAAGGCCCGCAAATAAGATGACAGTATGCGTGCTCACAGGTCCAACTGTTAGGCAACCCTGCGAGCGCATGCAGCTGTTTTGAGCAGAACGGACAGAAGCAACGGTGGCTTTGCAAAATAAAACTAGTCGTCCAACCAACGCCAGGCGCCCGTACTGTGAGGAACTCCCTCTGCTGCCTGGATAACTGAGGAAGAGTGTTTTTTCAACGTTGAAAGACAAATTCTGCTTTGTTTTAGTCACACCTCCCTTTTTTTACAGCACCGCATTAAAGAGCTGAAAATGCCATCTACTGACGGGATTATGAGCCAGGAGCAATGGAAGGCAACCTTTGACCTTCGAGATCTTTTTGTGGTAAGACAAAGTCCCCTGGACTATGCTTCTAATTGTCTGTGATGCTGAAGCTAACACAATGCTCGGATCCATACAGGCTGCGCTACGCAGGAACGTCCCTGCCGATGCCGATGCTCTTGAGAAGGAATACAGTCGTGCCTGGACCGATTTTCTCTCAACCCAAGTACCCATCTCGGAAACGCAGGCTGCGTTCAACCAGCTCGTCGACCTCGCCGACGAAGAAAAGGTCCGAGATGCATATGCAGGATTCCTGGATGCCCCTCTCGCGTCCGCTGAAGACGAGGATGCAGCCATAGCGACCCTTTGCCGCGTTTCTGGCAGCTTGGGCGTGATGCCTATGACAAGGGAGGTTGTACGAAATTCAAATTGGGTCAGTTGAAATTGTACGTGAGGCAGAGGTGAGCAACAACTCCTCTTTCTGTTTCACACCATTGAAACAAACTCAACGACGAGCGATTGCCAATGATTGTCAATTTCAGATTTGTTTTAAGGATGAAGAGAAGAAAGTTTGGTTCCTGGTGGCCAAACTGCTGCAGCGGGAAGAGAACAAAACCGATACTGTTCGCAAACAGGTCGTAGATCTTGTGCAATCTGAACCGAAGTTGCCCGAGATGGTAACAAAGTACTACAAGTTGATGGACATGTCTGAGGAGAATGTGGAGGCCATGAAATCGCGAGGAGAGACTTTTTTCTTGGACATTTAGTGGTGGAATCAATCTCATGCTGAAATTCCGGTATTGCTGTTCATTGTTATGAGGCTTTCTTCCGACTGTCGGTGTACAATCTTCGCTAGACCCAAGAACCTCGGTCCATTGGCCGTTATAAGCACGGAGTTATCTCATGGCTAGAAGTGGAACTTCAGTGGTCAACGGATACAAAGTTTAAATTTTTCTTCATCACGCATTACTCTTTCGCCATAGGCGGTTGACTGACCTAATATCCCAACGTTGTTACGATTTCCAAACTATAATGCCCGAGGACTACGTCTCCCTCTAGCTTGAAAAGGTTTCATCCTCCGTAACGCACTCCAAATGCCACTCCCATAACGACTACAAGCGCCCCGTTCCTCTTTTCTCGGCCCTAGAAGCGGGATAGGTTAGTATTGAGGCAGATGTCTGGCTTTAAAACGGTGAGGACACGGCGAGACAGAGCTGTCTCCGGAGCGAACCCTTGAGAACCTGTCTTCAACCCACTGCATGAGATACTCACTCGACGTAACATAAGATCATCCGAAACCGAGAATCCTGTCGCCGATAACAGAATTCGTAGCGTCCACCCCTCGCAAGATGATGCCCACGTCGTTCTTCTCATTGACGTCAAGACCTATGCCAGGAAAACCTGGCCTATAGTTCTTTGTCAATTTCGCCGCCTGCGAGAGCGCCGATTCCTCACGCGGTACGATGAAGTTCAGTCGGAAGTCGTTCATACCGAGTGCCAGAAACCACAACTGCGCCTCTTGTAGTTGTCGGCTCAGGGACCATTGACGTCTCGACAGTTCAAGAAGCATACGCCAACGTCACTGATGGAAAGGAACACCGCGAATATCACCAGTATCACCACACATTTCTTGATGCCCCACTCGAGGGCTTTTCTGACACCAAAAACCTTCACGTTAACAACGGACGGACTTACTACTGTTTCGAGGCGTTTGTGTTATCCGGAAAACTCGTATCATGCCAGGGCTTCTCTCAAGGCCACCATCGAATCTGTCCACTGTGGTTTTAGCAAGCGGCAAAGAGCAATACTTCGGGCTCAAACTTACAAGGCAAGCCGCAGCGGAATTCAAGCGAGGTACTGGGACGCACCAGACTGGCCCATCAAGAATTGCAACTACGCCTGGAGCGTTTTGACTGGGGAGGGGGTGGGGATGCTGGGCGTTGATGATATTACCAGTGCCACGGGAGCAAGACGAGATCATGGGTACCTAGATTGTGTAGTAATGATGGTCACGGCTCTCATCTACGTCTCTCCCGTTCCGACTTTAGTCCTTGGCTTGGGATGTTGTTGAAG